TTAGACAATCCGTCCAACACAATGAAAATTTCAGTATCGTTCGTTGACCGAAACAGGTTGAATGTTTCAGGCTTTATCCTCAGTCAGTAATTGGAACCTCTTCAGCAGACATGCTAATGTTGACATCTCATTCTCTGGTTAAAGCTAGCTGCCAGTGTCCTGTAGGTTGTAGTTTCACCTGGAAATCTCCCAACAGACGAGCTTCATCGACGCTGTTCGCTTCCAACACGAGTATGTCAGCACACACTCCTGTCGCAACGTCCTCTTCTACGGTTCTTCTCATTTCCGGTACCCCTTTTTACCGGCCACGTTATGATCACAGTTTTATCCCCCTCCGTTCAAACTTGTTCCTTCAGCTTCTTTCAATTCGTTCGTCCAGCATTTTTATTTACGAGCCGAGAGACGCTTTGCAGCGCAATCGTCTTTGCAGTTTTCTTTTGCTCCAACTTCCTGACCCTCCGCCGGATACGACCAACTTGCCGTTCGCAACTTTCCTCGACGTTCCACGTGGCTATCGGGGGAAACAGGAAGGTAATTTCTTTTAAATGTAACTTGGTTGCTTCTTCTCGTTTACCTGGTCGACGGGAATTCCGCAGAAAAATAAGACGATTCGGCCCTTTTTACCGGGGACTCGTTTGCCGGTTGATTCGTTCCCTTTCGGGATAAACATCTCAGGAAAGATGGGATTTGCCGCTCGGTCGGGTCGTTTTGTCTCTTCATCCCTGGTGTTTTGTAAATATTTATTTATCACGGAAGGACTCCCGCAATTTGCATTTTCTTTTGTACATATTTACCGTTGGCTACCGGATATGTACTATCGCTTTTCTCGGTTTATACTCGAACCTATTCGTTTCTGTTGTACTACATTTAGGCTATTTCATTTTTATTTCTTGCACATTTGTACTATTTAATTTTTACTGATTATACGTTTGTGCTATTTCACTTTTACTACTTATTGTGCTATTTCTACTGTTTATCCGTTTAAACAATTTCTACTATTTTGAGGACTTTCACTCGTGACGTGCTTGTGACGTACTCGTGACGCAGTCATGACGCAGCCATGACGCACTCTTGACGCATTCATGATGCACACGTGACAGCTATGATAAATTTTATTTGAATTTTGAACTCGTGACGCAATCATGACGCACTCGTGACGCACTCTTGATGCATTCATGACGCACTCGTGACACAAACATGCCGCACTCGTGAGACAATCATGACGCACTCCTGATGCATTCATGACGAACTCGTGAGACAAACATGACGCATTCGTGACACAATCATGACGCAATCATGACGCACTCCTGATGCATTCATGACGCATTCGTGACATAATCATGACGCAATCATGACGCACTCCTGATGTATTCATGACGCAATCGTGACTCGCTTGTGAAGCAATCATGACGCACTCCTAATGCATTCATGACGCATTCGTGACATAATCATGACGCAATCATGGCGCACTCCGGATGGATTCATGACGCAATCATGACTCACTTGTGAAGCAATCATGACGCACTCCTAATGCATTCATGACGCATTCGTGTCATAATCATGACGCAATCGTGACGCACTCGTGACGCACTCCTGATGCATTCATGACGCATTCGTGATATAATCATGACGCACTTTTGACGCATTCGTATCGCGTTCATGATGCACACGTGACAGCTATGATCAATTTTACTTGAAGTTTAAATACGCTTCAATTTGGACTACAAGTCCAATCATTTGCATAGTCAATGATTGATACCAAATTGACATAACATTTCAACTTTCTTTGTCTGTTTTAAAATTGTAGCTGTGACTAGTTAATTGTGACTGATACACCTGAAAAATCATAGATAAAGGAGTTAATTTAAATTCAATGTACATGTGATGTATAAAGGTAGTGGAGCAGCAGTGGCATCATGAGTCACATTCATAAATCATGTAGCCTTCTGCGTATAAAGTGTTTCTGAACATTCGAACAAACACACGAATGAAAGGCAAAAATCGCGCGAGTTAACCTTGAAGAGTAGATGAAAAGTGTCGATCCGAAAGGGGCATGAAACAGGGTGTCGTCGGCGTTGTTGAATCTCGCACCCTCGCGCGATCCTCGCAGCAGGACGAAGAGGAGCGAAGAGGAACGGTCTGGCCGGGGTTTATCGATCCCGTTTTTGAAGTTTTTCTTTGGTCGTCGGCTGGTCGCGTCAAACGACTCTCGCCAGCTTTGCTAGCCTTTCTTGCCGACTGCCTGTCTATTCCGTGGAAGACACATTTTCATTTTCTCCAAGGAGCACCGCTCCCTCTCCAGGCCCTCTGTCACGTCATTGTCCCCAGACGAAACACGCGATCCACTCAGCACTTTTGTGCTCTGAAACCGTCCTTTCGCGGCGATTCGCTGCAAAAGGGATTAACGTCCGGATTTTCTGCATCTCCGTCCACTTTGACCCCGTTCCCGACGATTGTCTCAATTTTTAACGCGTACTGCTGTTTCTATTTCCATGAAACGCAGGTTTTAACCACGATGTTACACCTCGCTTTGATTATTCTTGGATTATTCAGGTCTTCAGTTTTGACAAGTCTTGTAGATATTTCTGCTACAGCTTGTTATATTTATTATAAAATGTTCCATTTAGAACATGGCTTAGCTAGAAGCATATAGACATCACTAAAAAATATTTCAAATAAAAAATTGTTCATTAAGGTTCCTCTCCATGTTGTCAATATTTGAGAGTTTTTAATACTTGTTTTTTAATAAGACAAAATCCGACAATGTTCCATCTAGAATATGTCTTATCAAAAAACATATAGACATGACTAAAAAATATTTTAAATAAAAAATTGTTCATGAAGGTTGCTCTCCATGTTATCAATATTTTAGAGTTTTTAATACTTGTTTTTTAATAAGACAAAATTCGACAATTTTCCATTTATAATATGTCTTATCTAGAAGCATATAGGCATCACTAAAAAATATTTCAAATAAAAAATTGTTCATGAAGGTTCCTCTCCATGTTGTATATATTTTAGAGTTTTTAATACTTGTTTTTTAATAAGACAAAATTCGACAATTTTCCATTTATAATATGTCTTATCTAGAAGCATATAGACATCACTAAAAAATATTTTAAATAAAAAATTGTTCATGAAGGTTGCTCTCCATGTTGTATATATTTTAGAGTTTTTAATACTTGTTTTTTAATAAGACAAAATTCGACAATTTTCCATTTATAATATGTCTTATCTAGAAGCATATAGGCATCACTAAAAAATATTTCAAATAAAAAATTGTTCATTAAGGTTCCTCTCCATGTTGTCAATATTTGAGAGTTTTTAATACTTGTTTTTTAATAAGACAAAATTCGACAATTTTCCATTTATAATATGTCTTATCTAGGGACGTATAAACATCGTCAAAAAATATTTCAAATAAAAAATCGTACAATACCAAAGAACACATTCTCGCATATTTAACCTTGCAGTGGCGCTACAAAGTCCTATGAAGATCATGAAATTTTGAAGCACGATCTTCATTCTCATAAATCGATTCAGCACGTAAAATACCGTTTATGTACAAAATAAATAAAGTATACAAAGTATGAGTAGTAAAGCTATAAAGTAAAATATAATTATAAGTATAAAATGTAGTATAATTATAAGTATAATTAAAGTATAAAGTGCATAAAATTCTTTAAACCAAAAAGAAATTAAAAGAAACTAAAAAGAAACCCTTAAAAGAAACTAAAAATTGAAATAAAAAACCATGGAAGAGCCATAAGGTCGACAGTGAAGTGACCTAACCTCAAAAACTGCAATTCTCGAAGCAATCTTCGTTCAATTTAAAAAAGTAATTATTACAACGTCGTAAACCTTGCCCGTAGAATGGCAAAGAAGAAATAAAAGTGAAGCAGACAGTAACAATCATCATTTGCGGGGGTAATTTCGTTTTAACAGAATACGGAGGTACAGGCAGTAAAATGGCGGTCCGTTTACGACGACTAAACATCGGACAGTTGCCGGTGGAAATCAGTCACGTAGGAAGAATTCCAAATACGTTCCGAATCTTCTGGGCTGCTTTCACGACCACGAAAAGAAGTTTTAGCTAGCTGTCCGACTGTAGGGGTGGTCCAGCGAATCGAACCGGTCCGGATGTCTGGCCATTGGCTCGAGTAAATTGAAAATTTCACGCCTGACGGTTCTACCGGTTCGGGATTTCATCGACAGATGCCGAGGATTTTGCATAACCTTTCGCTCCTGTTGCCTGAATCCCGGCGAAAATATCCGAGGGTATCGCGTTATTTCCGCCAGCGAAATCTGGAAATAACTCGTTTTTGTCTTCGATCAACGCGATACTCTCAGCTACCCTGGAAAAGTAAAGCCGATTTTTATGAGCCGCTCCAACAGAGACGTGTTCGGAAATGAAATGTTACCTATAGATTTCGGATATTTGTTCGCGCATATATTTTATATACGGAAAATGAGGCTTCGACGAGTTTGTGCTTTAAATTCCAAACAGAAAAGAACCTATTTGTACTCACGGTGTCGTTCGACATCACATTTCTCTTGAATTTTATAATTCAAATAAATTGCTTAAATATATTCATTTTTTTATTATTTGTAATGCATGAAAAATGTATTTAACATACTCCACACTATTTAAATGCATTTTATTGCGAACCTCTTTCTATCTTGTAAATGAAGGGGTTGTTAGGTAAAAGAGATTAAGGAGTGCAAAGGGTTACTTCGCACGAAAATATGTCTCTGATATTTGCAAACAAGGAACAATTTTAATAACCTACTAATTTTTAAGTCCAAAAAGACTGAAGTCTAAAAGAATTAAAAGAAAGTACAATACCAGTATTTGAAATATTACGTATGAAAAGTACAAAACTTGCCTCGAAGCTACAAGTTTTAATATTCGAATCAAACTTCTGAAAGGCTATTTCAAAGTTGTATGAAATGTCTGAAGAGATTCTCATTTACAGTTTCGTTCGGTGGTTTTGTTACAGGAGGAAGATTCGTGGTCACTTCTCAGGGTGATCTTCACATAAGAGCTACCAGACCTGAAGATGGAAGAGCAACGTACTCGTGTTTGACCCTTCATGCGCTGACTGGAGAGAGGAGGAGGAGTGAGCCTGCCACTTTGACAGTAACAGGCACGATTCTATAATTAAATTTTTTAGCAAGTTCAATAAAAACTATATTAACATTGGTGTACGATTTTCTATTCACACGAGAGGATTAAAATAATATTAATTTTTTATGTTTCAACAATTTTTTTATCTTTAACAGAGTCAGCCATTTGGCAGTCAAAGACATCCTTGAACTCTGACAAAATTGAATAATTCAATTATTTTTTTTTATTTGAAAATGTCTACTTGAGTCTCTCTATTTAATGAGTGGCTACATACTTATTATTAATAATTATATTATTTTATAATATCAAAGGACAAAATTATACAGAGTGCCTCACAATTGGTGTCACTTACTGAAAGAGGGTGTAGCTGACTCAATTTTTTGATTTTTAATAAATTTTTTCTTTGCAAAAATTGGGTTTGAAGCTTCATAAAAAGTGTCTCACAATTTATGTCTCTCCTTAAGTGTCTCACAATTTATGTCTCTCCTTAAGTGTCTCACAATTTATGTCTCTCCTTGAAAGGGGTTGTAGCTGACTGAATTTTTTGATTTTGAATAACTTTCTTCTTTACAAAAATAGGGTTTGAAGCTTCATAAAAAATCTCACAAATTATGTCTCTCCCTGAAAAATGTTGTAGCTGACTGAATTTTTTGATTTTGAATAACTGTTTCTTTGCAAAAATTGGCTTAGAAGCTTCATAATTTTTGACCTTGCGTTTAAGTTACATATAATTGAAAATATCAATAGTGTTGATATGAAATTTGCTTTGAAATTTGCAGAGCCAAGTGGATCGGTGCCACCAAGATTGATGCAAAGATCACAAATAGCCATTTCGGCAGAAAGTGGTTCGGATGTTCATCTCACCTGCTCGGCCCAAGGAAGTCCACCCCCTCAATTTACCTGGTATCGCGATGTTAACGGTTGGTTTAATTAGGGGATTGTTTACCGTTCAGTTCAAATATACCATGCACCACACGCTCCGACGCAAAGTGTTGATTTATGCATTGTTAACACACCGTTCAGCAAACAGGAACGTTGTTATCGATATTGCAGTACTTGTTTTCTGGGTTATGATAGCAGCCCGATTGCAGCTCCATTTTGATCCGAGGATGTACTGATTATCACAATTATCCTATATTTTGAATATATTTAAAAATTTAGTAATATTAAATTATTGAATGATTTGTTTGGCATCAGATTTGCAACAGAAATTAATTTTGTGTCAAGAATATTATTAAAAACTTATCTATCTATTTTCATTGAAAATATCGAATTTATGTAAGTACCATTTTGTGATATTTTTATGTCAGGAAGTTGTATTACCGAAAATTCACAGTTTACAAATTCAACTTTGATTCGTTTACATTTGACTAGTGATTGACTGGTCAGTCATTTGGACTACAAATATTGGTGAAACGTATACACCATCAATTTCACGAAACTATAACTCAAACTATAATTTGAGGTACAGTAAGCGTTATTTGAGGACAGTTCCCAATTCCTAAATTCCCATTTCCTAAATTCCCAATTCCTAAATTCCTAATTCTCCAAATTCCCGAATTTCCAAATCCTCAACTCCCTAATTTCCAAAATTCCCAAATCCTCAACTCCCTAATTTCCCAACTCTCTAAATTTCCAAATTCCCAAATCTTCAACTCCCTAATTTCCAAAATTCTCAAATTCTGAACTCCCTAATTTCCCAACTCTCTAAATTCCCAAATTCCCAAATCTTCAACTCCCTAATTTCCAAAATTCTCAAATTCTGAACTCCCTAATTTCCCAACTCTCTAAAGTTCCAAATTCCCAAATCTTCAACTCCCTAATTTCCAAAATTCTCAAATTCTGAACTCCCTAATTTCCCAACTCTCTAAAGTTCCTCCCTAATTTCCCAACTCTTTAAATTCCCAAATTCCCAAATCCTCAACTCCCTAATTTCCCAACTCTTTAAATTCCCAAATTCTCAAATTCTGAACTCCCTAATTTCCCAACTCTCTAAATTCCCAAATCCCTAAATTATAACTCAAACTATAATTTGAGGTACAGTAAGCGTTATTTGAGGACAGTTCCCAATTCCTAAATTCCCATTTCCTAAATTCCCAATTCCTAAATTCCTAATTCTCCAATTTTCCAAATTCCCAATTCCTCAACTCCCTAATTTCCAAAATTCCCAAATCCTCAATTCCCTAATTTCCCAACTCTCTAAATTCCCAAATTCCCAAATCCTCAACTCCCTAATTTCCCAACTCTTTAAATTCCCAAATTCCCAAATCCTCAACTCCCTAATTTCCCNAACTCTCTAAATTCCCAAATCCCTAAATCCCCAACTCTCGAAACCCCAACTCTCTCAATTCCCAATTTCCCAACCCTCTAATTTCCCCCACTTCCACATCTGCAAATTCCCAAACTCCTTAAACCCCACCTTCCACACCTTTATATCAAAAATTTGTATTAAACCTTCCACATCGTCATCAAAATAACCTGTCGACCCGAATATTATCGATATTTACCCAGCTTCCCCAGAGTATAACTTTCAATTTGATATTCGTATCTGCAAATTCGCGATAATTTTACGTCACGAAATTGTATCGGAAGATATTGACGGAACATTTTCGTTGGAAAGCAACGAAAATACCGTAATTTCGATATCCCGTTTTAGCTGTAGGTATAATGGTATCGGGCATCAAGCAGCGGTTAACTCGTTGTTCCAGGCCACTCGATACCGGTGGAGTCGTTCGGTCGAATTCAGCTATGGGGTGATTTGATGCAAATCCGTCGTGTGGACGCCCAGGACGCGGGAAGGTACATTTGTCGAGCTAGCAATCAGGTTGGCGAGCAACGGGCGGAAACACACCTGTCGGTCACGTCAAAACTCAACGCGAGGATACAACCCCGTGTTCAGGTATCATATGCCTCGCTTCCGCAAATATTTCTGCACTTGTATCGGTTCCTAACCACGCGCTTACGTTAAGGTCGCGGTAACTGATCGCTCGGTAAGTGAGCGCTGTTTAGTCGAATTAATTTCGAAGATAATGAATCTGAAGAATTGTATAATGAATTAAGAATTGTATAATGAATCTGATGAATCTCATTGACTATCATATTGAAGATGAACGTTTCTTTGTGTAGGATAGTTCGAAACTATCGCGGTAACTGAGCGCGCCCGAACCCGAGCGATCAGTTAACGCAACCTTACTGCGTGGCGCGCAAATAATGTGATGTATAAACATGCTGCGCTTCAAATTAGATCGATTAATTGACACAAAATGTATCTCTCACATTGGTGGATTTATAGAACATGGTTTTAGTGACTCTTCAATTATAGAACTTGTAGTATGACACAAATGAAGTGTCAAGACTAAAGTTTCATTACTATCACATCTCATAAAAATGATACGTAACTCATGATTGTATATAAGATTGTATAACTATTGTATATAATATATCACAACAAAACTTGCCTTTCTAATAGTGCATTAAACATAAAATCTCAAAAAAGTTTTTTAAAAAAATAGAGAACCCAACAAAATCGACCAACAATCAAAATTTTACAAAAGCAATAAAATTGACTTTCGAACGCCTACCCAGTTTCAAAATCCCCCAAAAATTGTTCATACATCCACGGTACACAAAGTATCGATCTCCCTAAAAAGTAAAGAAAGAAAAAAAAAGTAAATGAGTAAATAAAACTGCAACGCGTGTCATTAAACTCGACGACAGCGGTAGCGAGGGTAAAAAGGGAGAGGCCTCTCCATGCAGCCGCGTAAATCGCAGCACGGACATTAACTTTCGAGCACGAATCGTTAACCGTTTCCCGGTATTTACAGATCATCAATTCCGGAGAGTCCGCCACTATGAATTGCACGGTGGAGGGTTATCCGGTCGAGAGCGTCGAGTGGTTGCACGATGGTGTGCCGGTATTGACCGCACAGGACACCAGGATCAGATTGCTGGCTCCTCTGGTCCTCGTGATAGGCTCGGTTGGACGAAAGGACAAGGGGATGTATCAGTGCCTCGTTAGAAGCGACAAGGAAAACGCTCAAGCCACTGCGGAATTGAAACTAGGAGGTATACGATCGTATAGTTATACCTCGATATTGCAACCGATACCTGGCTTTTGATTCATGTAGACGTTATCGGGTGCAGATCTTGGTAATCAATGTTTGAATGTGTCTGAATTTAGGAATTGTGGGTCTTTTTAAGTTTAGGAAGTACAAAGTTTCAAATTTTTAAATAGTAAGAGTAAAGACTTTTTAATTCCTAAATTTTTAAAAGTTGCAATTTTCAAATTCTTTAAATTCTCAAATGCCTGAAGTTCCAATTCTCTAAATTACCAAATCCCTAAATTTTCAAGCTTGTAAATCCCCAAGTTTCTAAATTTCCAAATTCCTAAAATTCCAATTCCCCAAATTCCCCAATCCCTAAATTCCCAACTCTCTAAATTCCCAAATCCCCAAATTTCCAAGCTTCTAAATCCCCAAATCCCTAAATTTCCAAGCTTCTAAATCCCCAAGTCTCTAAATTTCTAAATTCCTAAAATTCCAATTCCCCAAATTCCCAAACCCCTAAATTCCCAACACTCTAAATTCCCAAATCCCTAAATTTCCAAGCTTCTAAATCCCCAAATCCCTAAATTTCCAAGCTTCTAAATCCCCAAGTCTCTAAATTTCCAAATTCCTAAAATTCCAATTTCCCAAATTTCCCAATTCACAAATTCCCATTTCCTAAATTCCCCAATCCCTAAATTTCCAATTCCTAAATTCCCAACTCTCTAAATTCCCAAATCCCCAAATCTCTAAACCCTCAACCCCCTAAATTCCCAAATTCTCAACTCCCTAATTTCCCAAATTTCCAAGTTCCCTCACAAAATCCCTAAATTCCCAATTTCCCATATCCCAAATTTCCAAACTCCTTCTACAAATTCCTCATATACCAACTTCCCCAAAAACCTTGTAAACCCCCATAGCTACCAAAGTAACCTAAAAAAGTAAAAAAATAACCTAAAAACGTCCACATGAGAAATAATATATCTGTAATACTTCACTGTTTCAGACACAGTACCAGAGTTACAGTACACGTTCATAGAACAAGCCTTACGTCCAGGACCCCCAGTGTCACTGAGATGTTCCGCAACAGGATCACCGCCTCCGTCATTCACGTGGCTGCTAGATGGAGAACCCCTGAGCGAAATCGCGGCTGGACACAGGTGCGCATTTAGATCCCATCGATCAATATTCCGCTACTTAACTGTGAACAATGTCCGAGCAGGTACGCGATAGGACAGTATGTCGATCAGTCCGGGGACGTAATCAGTCACTTGAACATATCATCGGCTGGCGCTGAAGATGGCGGCCTTTATGCCTGTGTCGCTTCCAATACCCTGGCCACTGTCGAGCATAAAGCCAGACTGAACATTTATGGTAATCTCGACGATGTCGTCTTTAATTGAAATTCTACATTTCAACTTTAGTTGAAATTTTATATTTTCGTCTTTAAGTGAAATTTCACATCTTTGTCCTTAAGTTTCATATTTTTGAATGTAGGGCTACCAAATAGAAAGTCCATAGGTCAAGTTACATTTATTATGGTGTTGTGATTGTCACATGTCTAAGGTTTCCTAAAAGAACTTCTCTGTTGAGGATATATGTAACCAATGTGTGATTAGCATCCATAAAATTGTTAATAAGCTTGGACATGTCAAGCCTTACCTTTAAGACCCTAAAGTATAAGTACAAAAAGACCAACCTACGAAAATCTCTACTTTCTAGTTGAATCTCTCAATTCGATCACCTGTCCTCATAACACATAAGCACACCCTCACATAACACCTTTGCATACTAAAATGAAATGTCACAATTAATTAGTTGATCATATGACTCTTCTGTGAATAAAATAACGAAACAGTGGTTTTGAAGATATTTCAGGTCGATTAATAATTCCAGGTCCACCGTATATACGATCGATAGGACCAGTCCGCGCGATTGCTGGTGTCGATACCACCATAGCCTGTCCTTATTCGGGTTATCCTATCACGTCAGTCGAGTGGTCCCGTGGTGGAGTTGAATTGCCCCTTGACATAAGGCATCATGTCGATAGCGAAGGACATCTTACTATCGCCAATGTGGATCCTAACGATGCAGGAACTTACACCTGCATGGTTCGTGCTAGGTCTGGGGAAACGGCTAGCAGGGATATTCGACTTACTGTCAGTAGTAAGTACCTTCGTGGGAAAGTGAAGAGGATAAGGATTCCATTCATTTTGAAGAAACTAGACTCTTTTGAATAAATGTAGAAATGACACCTGAGTTATCCTGTTTAATATGTACACTTTTATTTTTGTTAAGCTGTTTTGTATTTTTTAGTTGCGTATTTTTCATTTTATGTGAATTTGTATAAATTATTTGTAACTTTGTCATTAAGTTATGTAGGTTATTTTTTACTTTGTATCAACTTGCATTAAATTATCATTTTGTTTTTAAGTGCTCAATGTAAATTGTATTGTCAAACGATTGTTACTTTATGCTAAGTATTTTATACAGTACTTTTGTTATTTATGTTGAATAGATTCTATACAAGTTGTATTTAATTATATTTAATCTATATTTTAATTTATGCTGTATTGTTTAAGCTACTCTATTCAGTCATTTTTTACTTTAAGACACTTTAAGATACATTTGTTAAGTCATTTTTTACTTTGAAGTTATATAAATTAATTTATCTTCATTTATTCAGCATGAAACATTTCGTGTACCCATATTACATTAAATTGCATGAATTACTTTAAACATTCTACGTTGGCATAATTTACAGTGCCACAAAAATCAGACATCTTATATTTTTTAAATTTATAAATGAAGTTAACGATATAAAAGGAAAATGAATTGATATGACACAGAAGTAACACTTTCTGAAAGGTAGGAGAACCGCAAGTACCTCTATGTACATTAAATACATATATACGCGTATACCCGTTTTAACGAGAAACGGCTTTTTGTTTCTCTTTCTTCACGGTCGTCTAGCTTACATTCACAAGAAAGTCACCAGCTAAAAGAAGGGAATTGCACGCCCGGAAAAATTCGTGTAGCGTTAACTTTCAACTTTTTCTCATTTGTCAGGATCCGTCTGGAGTAAGAAAAGTTGGGTCGACTGACGAACACGTGGATGGACATTAATACGTTCTGAGCGGAAATAATTAGCCTATTTTTTCCAGCTCTTAAAGTACATACTTCCTTTTTGCAATTTTGCATTGCAGATCATTCACGATGTATACAAATTTATTTATAGGAATTTTAATTCTTGGTCGGAGAATAATTTGAAAGTTTACTACCTTCTTCATTATTGGTATTGGTTACTTAGTTCAAATTTTTAACTCGGAAGTTCTTAACGAACAACTAACTTATTAACACTTAATAACAAATTTTAGAAGAATAGAAATTTTTAATTAATTATTGGTGAAATTTATTTTAGGTCCGCCAGTTATGAGTCCCTTCAATTTTCCCGCGAACCTGCAGGAAGGAAGCAGAGCCCAGGTCACGTGCAGCGTCACTTCCGGCGACCTTCCGATCTACTTCTCCTGGCTGAAAGACGGAGAGCCGTTGCCTTCGCTTTTACGTGTACGTCCTTGAAGAAGGCACTCAAGCTTTTACCATAATTACCAATCAATTCCTACCTAAGAGCTGAATTCCTAAAAGGTCAAATTCCCTCCTGAACTTCCAAATATTTATATTCCCAAACTTTCGCAAGTCCGAAATTTTCAAATCGCCAAATTTCCAAATAAACTCCAACAGTTCGCCAACTTAAACTTTCCCCAGTTAAAAAAATGTATAGCACTAAAAACTCTGGGGTAATTAAATTTCCGCGAGCAAACCGCAGAAGCCACAAGCTTATACGCATCCTCTGGTTGCAGATCGAAGAGAGGGTGGCGGAGTTCTTCAGTCTGCTCGTTTTCAAGGAACTATCCTCGAGCCACAGCGGCAAGTACACTTGTGTGGCGACGAACAGCGCGGCCAAAGTGAACCACACGGCCGAACTTTTGGTCAAAGTGCCACCGCAATGGATCTTTGAGCCGCAAGACGTAGCGACCCTTCTCGGCAACCCGTTGAACGTTCATTGCGAGGCGAAGGGGTTCCCGCCACCACGTGTCACATGGCTGCGTGCCAAGGGCAGAAGTTCCAATGACTATCAACCCTTGGTCGACGGCTCCGATGGCAGGCTAACCATATTGCCAAATGGATCTTTATGGACGGCTTCCGCAGGACCCCAGGACGAGGGTCACTATCTCTGCCGGGCTAATAACGGCATTGGATCTGGACTCAGCAAAGTGATCTACGTATCAGTTCATGGTGAACGTTTTTTAGATTAAAATGATCGTTAACCTCTTGCCCTTTGACGACTGTAACTGGTGATATAGGTCACAACTATAATATAACACACTCACTTACTATACTCGAATTTTAAATACTCTTCAATTTGGATTCAAGTCCAATCATTTGCATAGTCGATTGATACTACATTGACATAAAATATCAGCGTTCTTTGCCTTAATATTATAGCTATCGTTATTTCTAACGCACCTGACAAATCATAATACAAGAAGTTAATATTACACTTTAATTATTAATATCACATTTTAACTAGTACTGTTACTTTTAGAAGTTATGACTGACGCATCTAGCAAATAAATTGTGGGGCAAGAGGTTAAAATCCCTCGATAAACGAGCACACATCCTTAACAGTTAGTCAAATTGATTTCGAGACCGGTTGGACAAAGAAACAACGTGCAGTGATCCTGATTAATGCACCCGCAGCTCAGAGCCGTATACGTGTTTTAGTACAACGGAACATTGAGATACGCAGTTCTAAGCTACGGCTGTAACGATCACGGTTGCTGTACGATTTCCTTTGTTTTCGATGGTTCAGAAACCAACTATCGCTTGGCTGCGATCAGTTAACGCGACTTAGTTGTACGGTGTAGGAGTGAAGTGATGGGTGAACATGCGAAGCTTCAAACTAGATCAATTAGTAAGACAATATACTTGTTATACGTACACGACACAAATTAAGCTTGCAGGATCAAATTTTTATTGTTGAAAATGTAAATTATGTGATATTGCTGGATTCATAGAACCTATGATATTGCTAGATTCATAGAACATTATTTTAATGTATTTTTTAGCATAGTTTACTTAAACTATATCATTGTAAAGTATGTCATCTGCAAATGATATCATTTACAACCTCATATGGCACCAACGGTACTAATATAGTATTCACAAATGAATTTGTTAAGTCACCATCTCCATTTTGTTTTCCAGAACCAGCAAGATTCGAGTTCCAGAGTAAAAACGTGACAATACGACGTGGAGAGTCGGTGACCCTGGACTGCACCGTAATCGGTGATAACCCCATAGAGGTGCAGTGGATGCACAACAGCGATCGTTTGGATACGAACACCCATAGGCTGAGCATCAGTCAGATCAAAACCGATAATGGATTGAAGTCGCAGTTGTCTATTGGCAGCAGCGATCGTCAGGACTCAGGTGTCTACAGGTGTACTGCGGACAATGCTTATGGGAGGAGCGAGCATCTTATTTATTTGGCTGTTCAAGGTACCTCGAAGAATAGAAAGGAACTTTCTGAGGAATGTTAGAAAGGATACAATGTATTAAACACTGTTGGATAGGATATAATATATTAAATACAATATATTTGAAAATATATTATATTCGCGTATATAGAATGTTCTGTATTAATTAATGTTGCAGGGAATTAATTTATTCCTTAATACGAAAAGGATATAAGGGTAGGAAACTTGATGACATGTCACACCCCTAAGTATGTACTGTAAATTTTTGACTGATCATCTTTAACTATTAATAACTTAATATAAACAGTTAACTTAATATAAACATACAATACATTTTTAGGAATCTAACTGCTAAAAAGTCAGTAAATAATCTGAGCAGAAATTCGAAAAGGAACTTTCTGTCCCAAATTTCACCCCCTAAAGTATTACTTAAAATTTGCAGAACATACTATACATTAATTTGTCAATGAGAAACGTCTTAAATTAAAAAGACGTCCAGCGTCAATTCTCCAAAATTGTATTTAACAAAAGAATTACTGTTTATACGGGAAAAGAGTATTGAATCGGTACAAACAAAGGTTTATTTGGCGAAAAATATTCGGCGATCGTGAACGAATTAATTCACCCTTACACAATTGATGGTTTAATTGTGTTTACTTGACGAATACAGAGAGGCCAGATCCACCAGCCTCGTTGGAAGTCATAGAAATCGGCTCGCGATCGATACGATTGCTGTGGAAGAGGGCTTTCGACGGGAACAGTCCGATACGAAATTACGTTATTCAGTATCGGTCGTTGAATCACGGTTTGGAGGATGATTGGAACCCCGCGAAAACGCACAATGTCACTTACACACCCGGAAATTCTAATAGCGGAAACGCCATCCATCCTACTCAGAATGGCACGTAAATCCATTTCACGTCTATTTAGAATATCAATTTATAGAAGAGACCGCGAATAATTGATACATAGTTCAATTAATAATTTGCAAGTTTACTCTGGAGACCTATTTACTCCTGCATGAAATTCTTGTTATTAATAAAATGTATATTGATGTATAAAGTCGAGATAATCCAATTGCAAACATTCTTTTTAAACAGAATTCTCCATAACTGAATTGTTCGCGTATGTAACTCAGTAATCAATATCTCATGGATGTATCAATGAGTTCGCTCCAATTATCAATTCACGTGCAATAGCTTCCATTCTCCGCAAAGCTCTACCTCAAAGGATTAATATTCATACCTTGGTAACAGCGCTGCATCGCTAAAAATACACAGAATGGAAGCTTTAACAAATTTAATTGTTTAGACTGCAATGTTTTGTAACACAACCTCTGAAATTGCGAATGCATCATATTTCTTATTATACGATTATCAAATATTTACAGGGTTATCCCCTTTCGAAACAACCAGCGGCGATCAGGAAGTGGCTCTTGTGAGTGGACTACATCCGGCTGTCACGTACACGTTTCGTATATTCGCTATAAATTCGATCGACGTTAGCATACCCACTGATCCTGTGGTAGCGAAAACTCAGGAAGAAGGTATGGAAGTTTTTATAAAAGACAGTTTTTTATTTTACTGTTTTTTATTGCTGTGTTCTTTTTGTAGCGCCTACTGAACCGCCGCAGAGCATCAAGGTTCAGTCTGCGGGGCCTGGAGAACTTATGGTTAGCTGGCAGGTAAAAGAGTCTTGTTATTTCGTTTCGTTAGATAACCACAAGTTAGATATCTATGCGTTGTATATCTACGCATTGGAAAACCAAGCGTTAGATATTCACGCGTCAGATACCCACGCGTTAGATATCTACGCGTTGGAAAAGCAAGCGTTAGATACCCACGCGTTAGATATCTACGCGTTGGAAATTCAAACGTCAGATACCCACGCGTTAGATATCTACGCGTTGGAAAAGCAAGCGTTAGATACCCACGCGTTAGATATCTACGCGTTGGAAATTCAAACGTCAGATACCCACGCGTTAGATATCTACGCGTTGGAAATCCAAGCGTTAGATACCCACGCGTTAGATATCTACGCGTTGGAAAAGCAAGCGTTAGATACCCACGCGTTAGATATCTACGCGTTGGAAAAGCAAGCGTTAGATACCCACGCGTTAGATATCTACGCGTTGGAAAAGCAAGCGTTAGATACCCACGCGTTAGATATCTACGCGTTGGAAAAGCAAGCGTTAGATACCCACGCGTTAGATATCTACGCGTTGGAAATCCAAGCGTTAGATATCCACGCGTCAGATACCCACGCGTTAGATATCTACGCGTTGGAAATCCAAGCGTTAGATATCCATGCGTCGGATACCCACGCGTTAGATATCTACGCGTTGGAAAACCAAACGTCAGGTACCTACGCATTGGAAAACCAAGCGTCAAATACCTACGCATTGGAATACCAAGCGTTAAATATTCACGCGTCAGATACCCACGCGTTAGGTATCTACTGGTTGGAAATCCAAGCGTTAGATATTCACGCGTCGGATACCCACGCGTTAGATATCTACACGTTGGAAAACCAAGCGTTAGATACCTACGCATTGAATAACTACAAGTTAAATATCCACGCGTTAAATATCTAGGTATCAGATCACTACTTGCACAGTACTATTATACTTAATCCTTGTCTGACTGGGAAAAAGATTTTTAGTTAATTCTATATTATATCTTACCCTAAAGTCTCAAGTAAAATACTGAACCCTTAATTTTAATTGTTAAAATTCCTACTAAAGTACTAAACACTAATGTCTTAATCACACTTAATCAAGTCTCTGTCATACTCTAATATCTGAAACCCTAAAGTCTCCAATAAAATACTAAACAAAGTCGACATATGAAAGTACAGCTAGTCCTCCTAGATTGAAATCAAATAACAGAAAATTGGATATTAAATAACGTATTGTTGAAATACACAGCCACCGCCAAAGGAGTCCTGCAACGGAGATCTATTGGGCTACATAGTGACGTGGTCAGAGCATTCATCTTCGACGTCAGGTGTGAACCAGAGCAAAAGTTTAACCGTGAACGGATGGGCGACGACGAAGGTGCAACTCACCGGTCTCAGAAAGTTCACGAAGTACGATATATCGATCAGAGCTTTCAATAGTATAGCCAGCGGTCCGGCCAGCGTTCCCATTGTTGGAACAACTCAGGAGGGAGGTGAGCCATCAATTTTCGCTGATATATCAATCTGGAAAAAGGATGTTTAAATAAGTGAGATTATAATTGTTTTTGTTTTAGTGCCGGAGACGCCTCCGACACAGGTGGCTTGCGTTCCTTTGTCTTCGCAAAGTGTGAAAGTCTCGTGGAGCGCGCCGCCGCCTCATCAACATGGCGGCATCATTCAGGGTTACAAGGTTTATTATAGACCGGTACCCACTGATAATAGTAAGTGTAGTAATAGTAACAGTAAGTGTATTAATTTTAATAGTAACAATAGTTATGGTAAGTCTGAAGAGCAATTTAATTCAAAAAGATTAATGAGACAGTATTACCTAATGTTCTTGATGTTCCTTTTCAGTGGACATTTCCACGGTGGGCGAAGTGAAGAAGACCTCCAGCGTGGAGACCTACCTGCACACCTTGTACAAATATACAAATTACTCCATCAGGGTTCTGGCTTACACTGGAGCAGGAGATGGAGTTCTCAGTCCGCCAATTTTTTGTACCACAGAAGAAGATGGTAGGAATCTTGTTTTCAATGTAGAATTTGTTATTGAAGGTAGTGGTAACTTATGCTCATGGCATAAAAATTATCGAACTTGCTGGTTGATTAGAACCAGTTAGTAAACAGCAAATAGTAGCCAGTCAGTAAACAGTAAATAGTAGCCAGTTAGTAAATAAAAAAAGATTGTAATTGAAACTGATTATGCTCAGTTAATTTAGTCGATAAACTGACCATCGATAAATACGTTTCTTCTTCAGTTCCAGGACCACCAGCTGGCATCAAAGCTTTAGCACTAACGGCGGAAAGTATATTGGTTTCGTGGTTGCCGCCATTGCAACCCAATGGGAACGTCTCCAAGTACACGGTTTACAGCAGGGAAGCTGGATCCAGCAACCACAACACACATACCATGCACGAACCTCCATCATCGCCCACAGATACGCTGACCATGGAACTGAGAGGGCTGGTGGAGAGGTAATTAATTCAATTTTGTTTAATATCGACACATATAGTGATTTTAAGAAACTATTTTAGGCAAGTATACGAGTTTTGGGTATCGGCAACGACGGGGCTGGGAGAAGGAGAGCCAACAACCATCGTGACGCAAACTACGAATACTAGAGGTATCTAGGTTACAAAGTATTTTATAATTTGTCTTGTTTTATTGGAGAATCGGGCAGCAATTGTTCATTCGAGTAATTGTTTTTGAAGCTCCAGCTAGAGTGGCGTCGTTCTCGCAACTTCTGAGGAGAGCCATCAAATCGTCCATTATGTTGTCCTGTTTGGTCGTGGGCAACCCTACGCCTCGCCCTATTTGGACGTACAGAAATGGCCAGGTATCTACTGGTCGCCATTATGAGCTAACTGCTGATGGCCATCTTAATATTCGTGGTTAGTTTATTTTTCCAAATCTCAAAATTCAAAGTTACAAAAGTTGAACATCTAAAGATCTCAATCTTTCCAACTTGGAAAACACTATCGCTTCAAAATCCCAACTCCTCTACTACACAATTAAATTTCAGGACTAGAACAGTCAGTGGCAGGGAATTACACTTGCTCCGCCAGCAACCTATTCGGTGATGATTCAATTACATATACCCTGGTCGTCGTGATGCCCCCTCGTGCACCGACCTTAGAACTGCAATATACCACAACGAATAGCATTAGGCTCCGATGGAACCATCCAAACAACGGAGGCGCTACCATTCAAGGTACACATCAATACCAAGATCAAGTTACAGAAGAACAAGTAACAAGTTGGATGTCTGGTATTTTTATCAGGTTACGTGTTAAGCTACAAGAGGGACCAAGGTGGTTGGGAGGAGATCGCATTATCACCAGAGCAGACTGAATTCATCTTATCAGGACTGAAATGTGGATCCTCGTACTTGGCGCATTTGACAGCCCACAATCGTGTTGGCACTGGAGACCCTAGTCCTCTCATTAGTGCCACAACAAAAGGAACTGGTACTTTTTGTAGTTATACTTGTAGTGATAACTATAAGTCAACTACAAAGTTGTACTGTAAATACAATTACTATCATACTACAGACGCAACTTTATAGTTATTCTCATCACAAGTTCCTTAAAGCTTGCACATCATCATTAATTCTCTTTTCAGCTCCACTACTACCAAAAGAACGAGACATCATCTCCGCCAACGGAACATCCGTGAAGTTAAACCTGTTATCCTGGCCAAACGGCGGTTGCCCCATACAATACTTCACCGTAGAGTACAAAAGACGCATCAGTACTGAACCATGGATTCTAGTAGCGAGCCGCGCCACGGAGAATCTAGTTATACGAGACCTGAAGACTGCTTCCTGGTATAATTTACGACTGACAGCCCACAACGACGCTGGCTCCACTCAGACGCAGATGGAATTCGCTACGACCACCCTCAGTGGTGTCAGTATTGGTCCTCCGAACGACCTCATCATGGAGGACGACGTGAAGAAAGCTATACCCAACCAGAAAGTGCTCTACGTGGTCGTACCTCTGATCTGCGCCATAGTGCTTATTGTTTCGGCCGCCATTTTGGGATACGTAATGCTGAAACGTAGCGGCAGGTGCGTTCGGTTTTATTGGCAAATGTGTCTTCACTTGAAGAAACTTTTATTTAAAAGAATACAAAGTAGAATATAAGAGTGGAATATAAACTGCTACTCTTCTGGATTTCAACATTTCAAAGAGATTTGACTGATGTGTTCATTGTAACAATCTATTAAACCAAGAACTAATTTGTTTTATCATCCTGTCTTCAGGGCGAACTACTTAGGGGAGATTCTCCCTGGACAGCAACAGAATCAGCAGTCGGGGTTGGGCCTCGTTCAGACGCAACAGCAGCATCAGCAGCATCACCATCTCTCTAGCTGCATGTCGACTATGCAGCTGAAGTCCACGGCTGAAAGGGACAACAGGAGAAATCACCAGGTGTACACCAGCTCACCTGTGAAGCAGGAGAATCACAAGTCTAATGATCATGGATCAGGTGTGTGGAAACATTTGATGCTGTTGGATCAGTGTTGCAAATGATACTTATATTGAAAGCTCAGAATATCACTTATCATAAATGACTTTTATTTAGTACTTGAGCTATTATAGATGAGCTAGTATAAGTGAGCTAGTATAAATAAGGTAAGATTCAATCCTTTTTTTCCAGAAATGTATGAAATCAGTCCATACGCAACCTTCAGCGTCCCAGGACGAGAGAATCGCTCGGTGACGACAGCGACCCTCGACTACACCATGCAATTTAAGACATTCGGCCATTTAGAGAACGAGGATATCAACACCATCGATTACGAGAGGTCCAGCGTGGACTTCGAAAGGTAACCGTTTTGTTTCGAGAACCAGAGCATGTTAGCAGACCCAAACCCTTGCTCGATGCTTGATGTCCTGCTCCCTGACCCTTTTCTCTTCCTCTTTCTGGTGTTCTTTCACGTGCAGGTCTAAAACCTCAAGGTGGCACAAGCAACGGTACTTCCCAAGTATCGCCGAAGCGGAGAGCAAGTTGCGCTCCAGTCGCCAGGGTTCCGGGAGCGACACGTCCGGAAGCCCTTGTGGAGAATGCGCCGGACCTAGTTACAGAGTACCAGTTAAACCTTGCAGAGGTATTCGCCTCTAAGGATACTGTTTAATTAATTAAACTGAAATCTTCAACTTAATCCCTTATGTTCCACAATCGTTACTTGACATAAACTTCAGATATGATAACCAAAATTATGGGGATTAAGTTTGAAGAAGTTGTGTCAATGTACAAAAAAGAAGTAAAATGAAGCAATTTTTGTAGATGTATTCTCCCGAGGAGTGGAGTCAAGTACAGAGTCCAACAATGAAGGCTCTCCTTCGCTTGCGAGACGACGAAGCCGACAGCCGAGCCGGTCCACTCGCAGGTAGCCAAGGTTTGTTTGTTTCCACATAGCACTCAGTCTCCTGATTATATTCAGTATTCGTATCACGGTCTTATGCAGTCTCGATGAGAAATGAATAATGGAAGAATGTACAGTTCCTGAGGAAAGATTGATACACATCTCATTTTCATAAATTGTAATATGTTTGCCTGGGAAGAAGCATTCTTCTGTTCAACTCGGTAATTCATGTAGAGTCATCATCATCATCTGTCATGGATATTAGTTTATGTAAACGAAATTTGCATGTCAGTGAATTTGGACAAATTAGACTAATTGGAAATCTGGTTTAAGTGTATACAGGTTATTATCTTTATTATTGGAGCTGATTCAGAGTCCCAATGCTAGAAGGTTTCAAGGTTGTAAGTTCCTAATTTTCTCAAGGTTTCTACTCTTCCATTGTCCCAACTCTTCAAGTTTCCACTTCTCCCAAGGTCTCAACTTTCCCAAGATTACAAATTGTCAAGGTCCCACTCTCCCAGGGTTACAATATCTCAAGGTTCTACTCTTTCAAGGTTCCACTTCTCCCAAGGTCCCAACTCCCTCAAGGTCCCACTTCTCGCAAGGTTCCACTCTCTCAAGCTTTCACCCTTTGAAGGTTCCATTCTCCCAAGGTCCCAACTCCCTCAAGGTCCCACTTCTCCCAAGGTTCCACTTTCTCAAGCTTCCACTCTTTGAAGGTTCCACTCTCCCAAGGTTCCACTCTCTCAAGTTTCCACCCTTTCAAGGTTCCACTCTCTCAAGTTTCCACCCTTCCAACGTCTCAACTCTCTCAGCATCCCTCTTCTCCTAAGGTCCCAGCTTTCCCAAGGTTCCACCCTCCCAAGGTCCAAATCTCTCGAGGGTCTAATCTCCTACACTCCCACTTCTCCCAAAGTCCCAATCTCTCAAGGTCGCACTTCTCCCAAGGCTCCACTCTTCCAAAGTCCTACTTGTCTCAAGGTTCCACCCTAGCAAGATTAAAATCTCCAGTCTCCAAGCCCTCATATCCTAACATCTAAAATCCCAAATCTCAAACCTTCCTCTAAACAACAACGGTCTACCCAAGGTGTCACCAATGCACGGCTATTCAAATGCATCCACATTTTATATAATGTATACACTTAAACCGGTCATACTGTATATGAACAGTAAGCATTAAAATTGAATGTGAATATGAATATGATTTTCCTAAGACCTTTTTGCAAATGTATTCTTGTGCAGTTCGGTAGAGGACATGACGTTGTTGCCGCCAAGCGGGTTCAGCGACAGTCGCGAGTTGAGCGACGTAGAGTGCGATCGTGATCGTGATCGTGATCGTGGTGAACGTGATCGTGATCGTGATCGAGACTGGCAGGGTCTATCAGCGGGAATCCGTCACGGTGGCAGCCTGGGTAGACTACCGATCGAGGCCGTCGAATCTATGCTCGCTAGGTATCGACACGAACCTCCGTAGACCGTAGTAAGCTGATATCAAGTTAAGATTAATTTCATTCATTCAGATTCATTGAAAGATGGCTTCTTACTGCATTGGTTCTTAAACTTTGACTTTAATCTGTTTACTGCGGATGTGGTTTGTAGATAACATTCTAAATTGTGGCCAGAGGAAGGTTTAATATATGAACAAGTTAATTCTTGCTAATATTAAATAGCGACTGAACTTCATATACTACTAACAATAAAATAAATGAAAAAATATCTTGCTTATATTAAATAGCGACTGTACTTCATTTACTACTAACAATAAAATAAATACAAAAATATCTTGCTGATATCAAATGCTGGCTATAATTCATATATCACTGACAATAAAATAAATACAAAAAAAAATCTTTTAAAATGTTATATCAATTAAATAAGAAGATTATATTAAAGTTAGTTAAGATTAAATTGAAGCTTGTTAAAAAATAAGTACAAACAGTATCCGCAGTTGAAGGGTTAAACTACCCCTACTTAGATACCCAATGTCTCTGTGGAACATTTCTGACATCAACTTTTTGATTTTATTAAAAATAATTTGTTTAATAAAAATCATACATAGTCAAGTTTTTGTGAACTTGTTACTTAACTAGTTATTAACATAACTGAACAGAAATTAGTAAAAATTTGATCATGTGATGGCTCCACAAGGAAAATGTTTAAGAGGTGTCTCCAGTCTTCATAAGTTTAAGAACCCCTGCCTCACTGCTTTCCTATTAAGAAACCGGGTCAATGGTGTTCATTTCTGTTGTTAGAAAACTAAACAGTAGTTTAGTATATAGAATAGTTAATAAGTATTAAAAATTTAGTATTGAAATTATTGCTTCAGTGAACACCATAACCTGCTTGCTTTTAGTTTCCCTATATGAATACTAACAGTACAAATTAGCAACTAGTTAATGTTACTAACAGTGCACCTTCAAAATGTTTAGCACAAATAATTAACAACATCGTGTGCATTATAGTCATTTCAAAGAAAAACTTGAGAGAAAAGATATTAATAAGACCGTTTATTTTCAGGTACCAACAAAGGAAAGAACAAGAGAGGCAAGAGTTCACTATACACGTTTGATGGGGATTCGACGAGTTTAGAAATATTAGCGCGAACGACGAAGAAAAAATAAAGACTGTCTAATCTCGCGGAATGTCAATGGAAAACTCTGGTTTTCGAGAAGTGACCGAAATTGACGAACCGTCTGTAGAAATAATAATGTACTAACGTAAAAATAATTCGTATGCAAATCTGACTAACCAGGGATGTTCGTTGTAAAAAAAAAACAAACGTTTGCTCACTCTAGGATACTGAGAAAAACGTTTAACGTTGATCCAACGCAAAATCCGCATTAGTTACAGAAGTATTCAATATACAAATACTCAAACTTTTGTAAACAAAAGGAAGAAAAGTAATTTAAAACGAGAAAAAAATAAATGGTATACTACAAGAAATACTATAACACAAAAAGAAATAATTGTAACGCAAAAAGAAATAATTATAATGCAAACAGAAGTAAATATCGTAACGCAAAGAGAAATAACAAACTTTAGAGAAGAGTATGTATAAGGTTAAACCTTTTTCTCAGTGTGTTGTCATGTTTTGTCCACAAATTGTCCGATTGACTGCTCTGCGTCTCATTCGAATACTGCCGTTGCGTTTTTCGCAATTTTTATTCGCGTCATTTACCCCGACCAATCGCGTGTCGAACGCGTCAACTATACGTGAAAGTACCGACTTTAGATATTTTCGATCTCCTTCGAAAACTGTGGAACTATCATTTAAGAACTGTTCATGACACTAAGAAAAATTGAATGTTTTGTATTATTGGAAATACTATCGATTTTATTGTGCTAGGCATGGGCAATAAATGGAGACTTAGGGGTTGATGAATTTGATGATAAATTGTAGGTAGTTGGAGGAGGATTTGTAGGTATTTGGGATTTGGAAGATTTTGGATATTTGGAAATTTTTGTAATTTTGTTTACTGGGGGTTGGGGACTGGGGGGTTAGAAATTTGGGAGTTCAGGAATTTGGGGTTTGGGAATTTGGGAATTTAGGAATTTGGGAGTTTAGTAATTTGGGGTGTTGAGAATTTGGGAGAGTAGAAATTAGGGGTGTTGAGAATTTGGGAGAGTAGAAATTGGGAGTGTTGGGAATTTGGGTGCTTGGGAACTTGGGGTGTTGAGAATTTGGGAGAGTAGAAATTAGGGATCTTTAGAATTTGGGTGCTTGGAAACTTGGGGTGTTGATAATTTGGGAGTCTAGGAATTTGGGGTGTTGAGAATTTGGGAGAGTAGAAATTGGGGGTGTTGAGAATTTGAGTGCTTGGGAACTTGGGGTGTTGAGAAATTGGGAGAATAGAAATTAGGGATCTTTAAAATTTAAGTGCTTGGAAACTTGGGATGTTGAGAATTTAGGTGCTTGGGAACTTGAAATGTTGAGAAATTGGATGTGTAGGAATTGGGGGTGTTCAGGAATTTGGTAATTTAGAAATTTGGGGTGTGTAAAATTTGATAACTTAGAAATCTATAAATGTAAAAATTTACAAATTTGAAATTATAAAAACTTGAAAATTCATTAATATGAAAACTTGTACCAATGTAACAATTTTAAAAAGTTGATCACACCATCACTGCCCATGCCTCAACAAGTAATTCTAAGAGACCGGACACTGCTAAAAGTCTGCAACCACACAGAGTGGCGATCAACGTTAATCGCAAGATCACTGAAGAGAACGTTAGGAAACAAGTCAATTTAGAGACGGAACGATGAATCACGCACGAGTATAATCGACAACTATTGTATAGTTCTAGATAGATCGTATACGTATCGCTAGTCATGCTGTGTTACCACGAATTGTATAGTTGAACATGATCTTTGGATCGTGGAGAACATTGAGAATCGTTTACTGCCAACATCGTTTCAGTAATGAATATATACACTATACTCTAATTTCCACAGACACTAATATGCAATTGGAATAAATTCTTTTTATACTCGTTGCTGAACGATTTTGTACCGATGTACACTTTCATATTTATGAATTTATCTTTCATCCATTGTAACAATTTTGTACCGATATTTCTATGTACAACATAGTTGTGATTTTGTAGTTTGTTTCTGTCGGTGGGTGATGATAGACAATTTTTTTCTCAGAAACTGCTCAACCGATTTAGCTAAACTTTTTTTTGTTTTATTCACGAAGGATTGCACTATTTTAAAATATTTTTTTAATGACCCTACAACTACAAGCAAGGTCAAATGACTATTTTATAAGTCTTTCATTTTTACTTACAAAATTGGACATTTTCATAAATTTCAACTTAAGACAATTTTTTTTTAAATCTTTGCTAATCTTCATGAAGGTAAAGAATTAATATGTATATTAATTTATGTTTTATCATTTGCTTATTTATTTTTGAATTTCATTTTTAAACTTTTGAAGAATTTGATCAAATCCCCATTAGCCCGACATGTCTAAGATTTTTCTTAAGAAAGTTATGATTTTGAAATGTACTATAACGATGTTTAGAGAGACGAGACTCTTAGTAATTTCTACAAACTACAAAGGGCCAGTTGTAACAATATTCCTAATTATCGGCATTAACGAAACCGAATTGCGCGTTTCGACAGCGCGTGCAACGTGTTGCGACGAAGCGCGCAATTTCGAGATGCGCGGACATCAAGAAGAATGATTGCGAGAAAGAGTATAGAACGGTTACGTGTTAAGGTGTAAATACATGTAAGCATTTAGTGGTTAAACTTATCGACATGCAATATGATTATTAATTAACGCCAAAGATAACTTTAAGTATTGCGTTGTTTTCATTCGCGAAATACTCTATGTATTTTCTGTCCTTTCCCCGCGTTTCGGAATGAATCGATTATTTCGGAATAATGTTTGTTGACGAAACGCGGAGTGAAAGAGGCAACAGCTCATGTTGATCGGATCGAACGAATTTAATTGTAAAACGGACGACTTTCGCGATGAAGTCCGGTCTTCGTGCGTCATGTTCTTCAAGTGAGACTGAGACTAATTAACTACGCTTATGTTAATTTCTGCCAAAGAGAGTTTATAGTTCACAGATACTATTTAAGTTAAGGCTATTGCCTTAATTGTAAGGTGACCCGTAATGAGGCGTCTATAACGTTTTCCGAAAGTGAGGGCATACTTTTGTTATTGGAAAATGAGAACAGATGTGTTTCTACTGAAAACTGGATCTTCCATGATGATTTCGATGTATAAATATTTGAAGTAGCGATATAAAACTAACTTGTACTATGGAGTATTACTATTTATATCATTATCTTAATTTTACGTTAAACAATAAATGCCATATCAGCTTTTAACTGCAGCATTATTTCTTTACTGCTTACATTTTATTAACCGACGATACAATTCGTAAAATACTTTATGTTTATTTTTAATTTACATTCTCATTTTTACGTATATACTTTTAATACATCTTACTGCAAAAGTGGAAAATATTAAAAAATTATTGAGTTGAAAATTTGATAATGTACAGAGTATGCCCTCTTGTTGCACGTATAAATATATGGCCCGCGCCATATATCGAAGAATCTAAGATCGACAAATTTTACGAATTCATTGAAGAATGTTTCAATTTTAATTCCGGAACTGTGACGATACTATTTATAGTGAATTATTGTTATAATCAAAAATCATAAGCTCAGACACCAGCTTAGATTCAGTTTCCTCTTCTGTCAGTAATTTCCTCTTTCATTTTCCTAATTCCTAACATGGTTCTGATTTTTCAATCCCTTTGATTTTATATAATTTTCAACTACTCTGTTACTGAAATTTAAAATTAAATACAGTTTTAAAAATAATCTGAAATTTTAATATGACATCTTCCTTTTATTGCCCGATAATGTCCGGTAATGTCCGGTAAAGTCCGGAAGCCTCATAATGTATTTTAAAATGATTAATAATCCGTATTTGACCCACGGAATATATATTAAATAGTATACAATTAATATATAATAAATATATAGCATATTAATCATTAAAATCAATGTTAATTAAATCCTAATAAAAAATGGAACAAGTGGCGCCATCTCTCCGGCGAACAGGGTGAACTACACACATTTGAAACCGCATTTTAATTAGTTCCCATCTTCTACCACCAGATGGCGCTTCATAAAGCGCCCTCTGGTGGCAACAAGAAGAACTAATGAAACCCCGGTTTCAAAACCCTGTAGTTCACCCTGTTCGCCGGAGAGATGGCGCTACAGTCTGAAGGAGGAGACAGACATGCATCCCCAGACTTCTTTCATTGCTTGCAGGATATAGCTAAAAAAGTATATACTTTATTTGAATTCTAGTAAAGTATTAACATAATAAAAATCTGGATGTTTAATATAAACATAAATTGCACAGAAAAAGATTCCTTTAATACTGGATGAAATACAAACAGGAGGTGGAGCAACAGGAAGAATATGGGCACATGAATATTTTGAATTAAATTCTCCTCCTGACATGGTTACATTTAGCAGCAAAATGCAAGCTAGTGGTGTCTATCATACTCCAGAATACATGTAATAATTTCTTCAATAATTGTATTCAGAAATACTCTTAATCTCTAAGTATTAAAAATTATTTTCTAGGCCAAAACATCCATACAGAGTGTTCAGTGCCTATATGGGTGATCCCACTAAAATATTAATATTAGAAGCAGTACTACAAGCCATTGAGGCAGAGGATCTGTTAACCCATGTTTGTCATGTTAGCAATTATTTACTATGTCAGTTGAACGCATTACAACAGGAATTTCCTGAGCTTATCTCTGCTGTTCGTGGTAGAGGTTTTATTATTGGATTTGATGCAGCAACTACGGATTTGAAAAACAAAATAAGGCTTGCATTACTTAGTAGAGGTAAGTTGCATTTTATAGTATGTACAATTGAAAACTTATGATCATATTATAATTGTCATGATAAATTTATGATAGGTGTACAAGTGGGTGATTCTGGTTCAAAATCGATCCGACTAAGACCATGTTTAATATTCGGTGAATATCATGCGGATATCTTTATAGATACTCTTCGTTGTTGTTTAAGAGATATTGAAGAAAGTTGATATATTTTTATTGTTGCATTTTGTGTTTAATAAATATATATTTTCATAGAAATAGAATGTATTTGCAGTACAGAGTAATTTATAATACATAACTGGTTTATATAGCAGTCAAAAAGACCGGGGTCTCGGTAACATATATTTAAGTATTTTAAATTTCGCGCGCTTTGGCGGAAAATAGTTATCAGCGCCATCTCTCCGGCGAACAGGGTGAACTACACACATTTGAAACCGCATTTTAATTAGTTCCCATCTTCTACCACCAGATGGCGCTTCATAAAGCGCCCTCTGGTGGCAACAAGAAGAACTAATGAAACCCCGGTTTCAAAACCCTGTAGTTCACCCTGTTCGCCGGAGAGATGGCGCTGATAACTATTTTCCGCCAAAGCGCGCGAAATTTAAAATACTTAAATATATGTTACCGAGACCCCGGTCTTTTTGACTGCTATATAAACCAGTTATGTATTATAAATTACTCTGTACTGCAAATACATTCTATTTCTATGAAAATATATATTTATTAAACACAAAATGCAACAATAAAAATATATCAACTTTCTTCAATATCTCTTAAACAACAACGAAGAGTATCTATAAAGATATCCGCATGATATTCACCGAATATTAAACATGGTCTTAGTCGGATCGATTTTGAACCAGAATCACCCACTTGTACACCTATCATAAATTTATCATGACAATTATAATATGATCATAAGTTTTCAATTGTACATACTATAAAATGCAACTTACCTCTACTAAGTAATGCAAGCCTTATTTTGTTTTTCAAATCCGTAGTTGCTGCATCAAATCCAATAATAAAACCTCTACCACGAACAGCAGAGATAAGCTCAGGAAATTCCTGTTGTAATGCGTTCAACTGACATAGTAAATAATTGCTAACATGACAAACATGGGTTAACAGATCCTCTGCCTCAATGGCTTGTAGTACTGCTTCTAATATTAATATTTTAGTGGGATCACCCATATAGGCACTGAACACTCTGTATGGATGTTTTGGCCTAGAAAATAATTTTTAATACTTAGAGATTAAGAGTATTTCTGAATACAATTATTGAAGAAATTATTACATGTATTCTGGAGTATGATAGACACCACTAGCTTGCATTTTGCTGCTAAATGTAACCATGTCAGGAGGAGAATTTAATTCAAAATATTCATGTGCCCATATTCTTCCTGTTGCTCCACCTCCTGTTTGTATTTCATCCAGTATTAAAGGAATCTTTTTCTGTGCAATTTATGTTTATATTAAACATCCAGATTTTTATTATGTTAATACTTTACTAGAATTCAAATAAAGTATATACTTTTTTAGCTATATCCTGCAAGCAATGAAAGAAGTCTGGGGATGCATGTCTGTCTCCTCCTTCAGACTGTATTGCTTCAACTATAATACCAGCTACTGGCATTTTCTTTTCATAATCTTCTATTAGCTTCTTCACCTTTTAAACAATACACTTAATCACATTTAGCATTGTTACAAAGTGAATGAATAAATTTACTTCATCTAAGCATTTATCATCTTCTTTCCTATTTTCTTTTTCATATTCATCTAATGGGTACATGTAATGTGGATAACGTGCAATTGGCCATGGAAGAGATGGTATATCAATCTTCATCATGTATTTATAATGTGTTAGTGCCAGTGCACCAAATGTCCTACCATGAAACGCTCCTAACATTACAAATTTCATCAGTTCATATTATAATATCTGCAACTGTATGTCAAATTACCATCAAAAGAAAGAATAGACAATTCAGGACAGCCAGGTGGTTTATTGTAAGGTGCAGTTTCTTTCTCTTCATCTGTAAAATCTTCACTTCCACGAAGTCTGTCTGCATATTTTATGAACGCCATTTGTATTGCATGTTCATTTGCACAGGCACCACACATAGCTGTGAAAACACATGGCAATCCTTTTGGAGCTACCTGATAACGCGACACATTTACAAAATTCTTTCTATTTTTTAACAATCATTTAGGACTTTCTGTTTTACTTGTATTAATAATAGTATCTTACACACGGCTGAAGCAATGTATCTTCAAGTTTACATGGCCATTCTAAACCAGGATATAATCCTAATGCTGGTCTATTTGCTATTATTCTCTAAAAATGAATGTTAACACTGTTTTATGATCATTTCAATGAACACAATCTCTTATGTTGTTTACTTGATTTCCAGCACAGGATAATGCACCAAGGATAGAGCGATGATTATATCCAAGGGGAACCATTGCAAGTTGCATAAACATATCTAGGAAAACATTCCCATCGATGTCTGCCAAATAATTTCCAACAGACCTCTGATAGTCTGCAAAGTATTGAATGGAGCCAACTTGCTGTAACAGTTTTTAACTGCATTTCATTAATACGTATCACTTTCACATAAAATTTATGTTGCAAAGGCACAAATATGAACCTGAATTTTAGAAAATTCTTTCATGAGGGCTTGTGATCTTGGTCCAGGGACATCACAAAGTGTGTATGGTTTAGCAGGTTCTCCTGGTAGAGGTGACTTTGGTACATGATGAAGTACTATAAATGTTTGGTAATGATACAATACATTAGCAATAGTAACAGTGTTTTAATCTTTAGACGGTAATTGACGTCGTATACTTACAACGAGGTTGTGAATTCTTTTGAATAGAGTGCCAAACACCTTTGCATAACATGTTCCAAGAAATTTCTGTGCTTATTAATTATTGTCAGTAATTTAGAAAACTTACAAAATTCTATTATATATAATGAAACACTTTTAAAAAATTTGAGAAAGGATAATAAAAAATGTATAACACATTTATATGAATGACATGTTCTTACTTTTGTTTCATATCATGACAGAAGAATGTAAATAGTTATTAACGTGGATTCTGTTTGATATTAAAAATAAGATTAGTATTTATTAGAATAAACTATATATTAAAAGTAGTTGAAAATCATTCATACTTGATAATTTCTATATAAAACATTATTATTGTACATAAATGAAATAAAAACTAAACTTTTGAACGGTATTAATATGTTCTTTTGAAGTTTCATGAAGCCACTGTCATACAGTAGTTTATTATTTTTTAAGCAATTACAAATTAAAAAAGGTAAATTAACATACTATGTTTTTTCTAACTTATATTTATAGTGCAATAAAAACAACAAAGTTTATGATTAAAATTAGTACAAATATATTTATTATAAACTAGTAATATTAGATTTAGACGAATATAGTTTATGTAATCACACTTTGTTGCTTTTTTTTCTTAATAGAAATAAACACTTCGTTACATGATTAATAAGTGGGTACGGTGAAATGGAGCAACGTGAAATTTACACGGCCACAATTTCTTCACCCAGTTTTTACACTTCAGTAGCATGCCAAAACTTACGTGAGTAGTATCTAATGTGTGCCTTAAGTATTTCTACAGATTTTTTTACAGAAAGAACTTTACTTCAATGTATCGTCAAGTACCAGTCCTTATGTAAGGAATATTCATCATGAGTGTAGTCTAGCTACACTTAAATCTTAAGAATATTTTATGAGTCCATATGCGTCTCACGGAAATATTGAAGGATTAACTCTTTGAGATACTATTAATTTCTTCTGCTTGCCTTAGAAGAGCAATAAATGTAGTACGATTTGTTACCTTGGATTAATGTACTTATTACATTCGTATTGACCTCTTAATGCAAGTATTAATATTTGTTTCTAATTCAACGTGTTGAGGCAAAGCAGAAGAATTTAAAATATACACAAGATCTCAAGGAGTAAATCCGTTAAAGTGTTTTTCTTGAAATAAAATTTTATTTAAATTGTTTACTCAATTCTTTGCTTAAATCAAACTAACTAATCATAGCTACAAAATTTGAGGACATGATAAACACAAAATCCAGCAAAGAATTGAGCGAACAAAAAATAAATACAACATTCTAATAATGTAGAAAGAAGTTTTTATAATAAAGTAGTAATAAAATAGTATTTCAATAAATAAACGAGACGCGTATGATACTGCTAATCAAAACGAGCTGATGATAAAGCTAATGCCGTGTATAAACCTGGGCAAAGTAATGAATTATATATCCTGTAACTATAATTGAAAGTCGAAGGTAAAAAACAGATCAGTGCCAGGTTCTGTGAACTTTGAATTAAAAATACTGTACAAGCGTGATCCTGGCGAAAATGTACAACCTGCTTTGAGCGATCTGCTTTCTTTTTACTTGAACAAACAATTAGTGATCGTCAAGATGCATCTGAAATTCGTGAAAGATACACATTAATGTACATACACGAATCCATGACAGTTCTCAACGTCAGAGAATAGTTCCTTACTCGGAAATATTTTAGATCATCACAGAATGAATCTGTACATAATTTAGCTCATAAAACATTCATGTACTTTCACTCTCGTATATTACTGACAAGTGAAATTTTAGATGTTTCTTTTATTCTGTATGAATATTTATTGTATGTATATTTATAAGATGTTCGCGAAATAATGTTACTTTTTCGTATCCTCATAGAATATAGAAACTAAATATACTTGTACATATACATTATAGTATAGTTTAGTAATTTTCATAAATGATAGTTTTTAATAGCTAAAATATAAACAGTATTTTCAGTGAATTCATTTTTTTGTGTGTGTTTAACTGACATACTTTGTTTATCATTGTCACACGAGAACCAAAATTCTATAATTTATTCATTATAGACATTTCTACTTAGATATATACAAAGCAAGCATGTCTGCTTGTTTCTTACGAACTAATATCGTACGTTTTACTTATAAACAATTTTATAGAAAATTTGTGGTAAAACAACATAATAATAATTGTGAGCACAATAAACAAATTTGTACAATTTATTATGCGCTTGCTAAATAATTCTTACGTCTACGTGAGAAAACTCGTTCTCTTTCCATTAAATGAAAAGTAATGTCATAATAATTGGACCATTTTCCTTTTCTTTGCCGGTGGCCAGCAAACTTTTCAATGGTTTTTCTTCTTTGTAAATTCATAAAATACGTTGCATTGGGTTACTAAAAACTCATCGTTCTAAACGCCCAGTGGCACTGTTTTGATATATTTGTAATTATTTTTGTATCATGCATAATTACACGTATGTGATAAATGTACATAAATAATAATGCTTGCACAGAACACATGAACTATGAACCACAACTTATGATGATCTTATACTTAAAGAAAAAAAAGAAGTGTTTTTTCTAGATTACACAAAACATAACAAGTAACCTTGTATTGCACGCTTCTTTCTACGATAAAAATCTTACTATTACCTAATTCATGGTGTTTTTATATTTTATAGTTTTGTAATAACTTTACGTTGACTAACCGTTGCTTCATTTTGTAAAAGAAAAAGATTTGTAAACAAGCACTGCATTATTTATTAAACTAATACTTTATTGTCAGATGTAAATAAACGACAGAAATAGTTATGAAAAATATATAGTATTAGTATTATTTCAAATTTAAGTATAACTTAGTCTTACAATAAACGACGTGTTCATTTCATAAATGAGAAGGATCATTTTCATACTGTTCCTTGCTGAATATCTATCGGCGTTACTATACGTCATCCATTACGGTTAAAATACTATATAAGTTCCGGTTCAAAATTCACTGTACGGCACAATTGAAATCAAGTTCGCTTCCGCGAAGATAAATCAAACGTTCACACAAGTCTAATAAATAGTGAACTTATATGTTCTACTCTTACATATTTATAACTACTTTGAATGTCTGTTTTCTACATTTTACTGGCACAGATCAATTCTGTAGTTACACCGCATAAATTAACTGCTGATACTTCGCACTTTCACTCATTTATAGTTACAGTTTCTTTGTTTTTGCCTTTTTCTTTTTTGATTGCTTACTTTCCTTCAGAGAACTTTTCCCTCAAACTTTTAATCTTGTGAACAAAATAAGTTTCTAAAGATTCTGCACACTTAAAGAAAGGTGACTCTCTCGGATTGTAATAACGACAATTGTCAAATATCTTCGTCATATCTCCAATAAATTCACTTAACTTTTTGTAAGATCTGTCATTTATTCTCAATTCTATTGTTTGCAGATCTGTAATAACAAACAATCAAGAAAATAACATTTATATAACGATAGAATTGTGTCGAGTTAAGTGCATATTATAATACAAAATCAAACTCACCCATTGGTTCCTTTATAACTTTATAATAATCTGGCGCTTCGTTTGGATCTACCGGTTCCATGAATGGCCAAGCACTCTTGTGTGCCTGAACATTTAAATTTATATTAATTAAATGAAAAACCTCGTGTACAATTTGCATTTACGCTTGCAATTTCCTTACCTGTATTTGCTTAATTAATTTTTTCAACAAATCGAGATCTTTCGAATTAAGATTTTTCATGTTAGCAAAATTAACGGAAGAGTTTCGTTGGCAATTTGGACAAACATACTCGTCTATATTGTCTGCTTCCGATTGAAGGATACCTACGCAGCGACCGTGGAACCAATCTTGACATTTATCGCAGCAAATATAAAATCTGTAGAACAAGAAACGTTAATCCTGACGAAGGATAATTAATTATATGAAATAATTAACCGTCACATACTGAGATTCGTCATAAGGTTGTTTGCATAAACAATACAATTCTTGCGTATCTCTTGCGTGTCTGCATTCTGTACAAACAAATTCTGAAAGCGTTTTACACATTTCTTCTGTAATACCAACACAATCTCCGTGGAACCAATTATTACAAAGATCGCATCCTACGTAAAACCTAACAGGACAACGAAATTGTAATGGTTAAATAAATATATGAAGTGAAACTTTTGAATTTATTATAGCTTGCAGTTACTTACTTTGTTTCATCGTATGGCGTTCTACATAGACAATATAGTTTCTCTTTTTTAATTCTATTCGTAGGAGCAGCAGTTGAAGCGCTAGGTGGTGTGCTACTTTTCCCTTCTGCTTTATACTTCTTTGGCCTTCCACCCCTATTAGGTGGACTAACTTGTTGGGCCACTTGAGCATTTGCTTTGCGTTTCGCACTTCCCACTTTTACTTCGTCCTGCTTATGTCTCTCTGCTTTTGTTCTTGATGCCAACTCCGCTGACAAATCCTTCTGCAATTTCAATCAAACAACAACAAAATTATATAAATGTAAATTAGTCGTAACACAGTATGTACTGCAGTTATATTAATGTGACATACTTGAATGTCTATTTGTAGTTCTTTTTCAAGCAACGCTCTCTTCTTAAGAATATCTTTTTTAAGCAATTCTTTGTGTCTAAATAACAAAACTTGCATTCGGGAATGCACTTGTTGTTTTCTTCGTTGTTCCTGACTGTCTTTAAGCTTCGCTGCTCGTTTTTGTGGCGTCGTTTCGTTTTCGGATACTTCAACCTTTGGAATCCTATAACATAGATAGTATTGTACAGGATGCAAGGATATGACAAATTTTTTCTTTCATTTTTAATAAAACTCACTTTGGAGTTTCACGAGGTTCTTGTTTTGGCGCGGGTTTCTTCCTAGGAGTTTCTACCCAATCTGAATCTTTATCATTTGTCGATGACTGTGCGTTCGTGGACGTGGTCGTTGTTGGAATGTTTGAAGGTGCTGGTCTTTTTCGAGATGGCACACGAGGGGTTGTAATTGCTGAAGTAGGATGTGTCTGATTAGTAGTTACTGAATTCTCAACACCACCTTTCATCTGTTTCTCTTGATATCGTTGTAGTTGCAGTAGTTTCTCCTCAATTTCGGGGTTAAGATTTTCTTGTTTCAAAGCATTTTTAATAGCTGGAAGTTAGACAATCATTTGAGCATTCAAAGTTATATTAATACAAGACAATAAAAGTAACAGCAATTATCAACTAACTTTGCTGTATATAATCAGGTGTTAAAATAAATTTGTTCGCTGAAGAATCGCTTCCTTCTTTTAATGACTGCAAAGGTTGTTGACCATTAGCTACATTGGTTTTCTGAGGCTCTTCTTCCGAGGGTACACTAGGTTGTGCAACTTGTTGAACAACTACTTTCGGTTTCTCAGGAGAACTTGGAGTTGCTGTTGATGGAAGCTCTGGAATGCTTTCTGTTCCCGTTTGAGGTTCTGTTAAAATTAAAAAAGCACTTCGTATATTTCATAAAAGCAGCAATATAATAGAGATACATACCGGCTGCCGCTGGAGGAGAAACGACTGGTTGTTGTGTGATTTGTGGTTTTGCTGCTGGTGTAGCAGGAGTATTTGCTGTTGTAGAATTTTGAGAGCTTTGAACTGCTTGCTGACTGTTGGGTGCAGGTTGGACAGCTAAATAAATTTTAGTAGGCCCTAAAACTCCTTGTTTCCCTGTTGTAGCTTGGGCTAAAAATTACATATATCATAAATATACTAATAGGATAATTCATATAACATATATGCAATATCAAACCTTTAAGCAATTGTTGTTTAACTTGCTGTTGAACCATTGCAAGCTGTTGCGGAGTAAAATCTGCTCCTTGTAAACCTTGTAAAACTATACGAGGACCTTGAGTGGTTTGAATAACTTGAGCAGTGACACATTTAATAACAGTTCCAGGTGGTTGACCAGCTAACAAGGATGCCTCTACGCTTCCAGGTGCTGGCGTAGTGGAAGCTTGATTCGTTGCAGTTGTTGATGTCACATTTGTAGGCGTACTGGTAGTAACAGTATTATTTATCGTTTCAGTCGATTGTGTTCCTGTTGCTGTCGCTACTGCTTGGGCGGATGGTAATACAGGAACTAAAACATTAATAATTTATGCAATTCAAACTCTTCTTTGTAATCTATTATTTAAAATAAATTTTATAAAATATTAACTTTCAACGAACCTTGTTTATTTGGTGTTACAGCATTTTTGACTATGATGCTACTATTCGCCGAATTTAAATGCACAATTTGATTACCCGTTGGTGTACTGCGAATGACCACTTGGTGACCACCGATTGTCGTTAATTGAGCTTTGCCTGTTGCAAGCTGCTGAGCTAAGTTTGCGTTAGTAACTACTATTTGGTTTCCACTAATAACTTGACCACCAGAGGATATGACTTGTGCACCCTGTACAATTTGTCCAGCATTCGCTACTACAATAGCATTCTTTGTTGGTTGAGCTGTTGTAGGAGCCGCAATAGGTACGGTTGTTGTACGTTGTACAGTTTGCTGAGTTTGTGTCTGCGATTGCTGAGATGTTTGTACTTGTTGAGTGGAATTTGTTGCTGCTTTAGTTGGACTTGTTTTAGCGGTCGCAGCATTAGATGTTGTAGTTACTTTAGTTGCAGTAGCTGTAGTAGCCGCTTTCGCCTTGAAGACATAGTTTCACAAATTAGTATGTAAATATTATATTATTTTTATTATAACACTTCACCACAGGATTTTAACAGTATACGTCGTATTCAATTTGCTAATTTTACCTGTGTAGTTGTAGTCGTTCCACCACTTTGTGCAAGACTGGTCGTAATAGCTTGAGCAGTATTTAGTACATGAAGCTTCCCATCAGGCATTTGAACTAACTGTTGACCAGGCATCAAGCCTCGAACTTGTAATTTTCCATCTGGCCCCCTTAAGATCTGTACTTTTTGCTGAATTTGTTGTACAGGTGCTATGTTAAAAATACAAATTAATAAGAATATGTAATTAATCATATTCCATAAGACTAGAGCACATTAAATATACCTGTTTGACCCGACGAAACTTTAATTAGAGATTGTTGTTGATTTCCAGTTTGTAATTGTGTTTTCGGTAAAATGCTTGTAGGTCCCGAAACAACCTTTGTTGTACCATCAGAGGCTGTTGAGATAAAATATCACATATTTTAATGGTATCTCCATACACACATTCTTAATGTTTATTTATATTTAATTACTTACATTTCGCCATGTAAATACGCCTTGTACCAATAAAAGTCTTATTTTGTGTTGGAGTCGTCAAAAGGGAAGTTAACTGTGACTTTGTCCCGCTGTTTGGATTTGCTGGTATTGCAACTTTAGAAACTAATTTAACTGTGCCATCTGTAATTAACATTTCAAAGTTAGCTACAATTTCTTTAAAAATAAATTTAATCTTTCAACACAGATATTACCATGAGCAGAGTTAGCAGTAACTTTAACAAGCTGCGTAGGCGAACCAGAATTAGCGGGACTTTTCAAAGTTTCCAATGCCCTTTTCTGTTGATGAGCAGCTCTTTGCATGCGTAATTGCTGTTCCATTTTTTCTTTAATTTCTTCAGGAGTGGCTTTTCCACTAACCAGTTGATCGCTTATGCCAGAATTTGACCCTGCATTTCGATTAGAACCAACTGCAGATTGCGGCTGACCCGATCGACTCCTAGTAATAATCTGGGCATTAGCCTTCTCTAACCTGGATAGGACACACATCAAGTGGGGTGTTAGTATCAGATGGTGTTAAGTAAGGATAGGTCAGACTTTGAGTGATATAAGGTGAAGCCCAGACATTCAATACACAGAAATCAGAAGTCAAAATACACATTTACAATCACGCTTAAGGGTTACAGATTAGTTAGGACAAGGTTCACAGGGTATGTTATACATAAATGTAGAACTGATCATTAGAGAAACTCCTTGATGCTGAATCATGGCGTGAAAATTGTTAAATGATGAAACTGAAATTATTAAACTTTGCTCGATTAACAATTTGTTATTAACATACCTATCACCGTACTGTTTAATTTCCCACAATTCTAATTTATCTTCATCAACCCATTCTTCTGTAACTTGTGGTTCAGTACTTTGTGGTGATTCAGGCCGTTTCCTTTTCCTTAAACCACTTCTTATAGATGTCACTTCTGCAATGTAATATATACTTATTATAATTGAAGCTGTGATCATTTCATTATATTTATTTCTTATACAAACCTCTGACTTGTTTTGGAAGTTCCAAAGGTATAACAACTTTTCGCCGTAAATACTGAGTTTTATCTAAAAATTGACCAACATGACGATGTTTAAGAATCTCCAAGGACATGATTTCAGTGTCGGTTGTGATTTGATGTTTGCCGTCGGTGGATAATGGCTTCGCGGCCATGTCATCCCACCGAAGGCATGCCCATAATATTCTTAACTGAAGGGCTGCCGCAGCTAATGATTTTATTCCGACTGTTCGATACAACCAGCAAGTTTTAAATAATGGTCTAGGGCAAGGGTACGGCCATACCGACATATTTGCCTAATATTTATAAAAGAAACTCAAATTAATATATAAAATACAGAAATGTTGTAATCGTTATTAATGTGATTTTACGAAGTACCTTAGCCATATGATGAAAACCTTGAACAGGTATTCGGCCACCTACTCTAGACAATTTACGTAATTCATGCTGGGGAAGTAACAATATACTACGATGTTTTGTTTTTGTACAAAATGTAGAACACAAAGGATATTTTACAGGTGTACGTTTCTTTTTTCTATCTGCTAAAGAAATTGTGACTTTCTTCAAATAAATTTTTCCCTCCGTCGATGTAGCCGAATAAATTCTTTCTGTACCATCCGCATTTAGCTCTTTAACCATTGTGCTCCTTTGCACGGTTCGACCCCGCCGATTAACGATCATAGTTTTCTGTCCCGTGTTTGTTTTAACCTCGGATGAGAATGTAACTGAATTTTGTGATGTTGTGCTTTCTTGCGTACTTTTCACCACACCATCAGCAGTTTTTACAGTGTGCTGTGTTGTAGTTACCGTTGTAGTAGTAACCACATTACTAGTGGTAGTAGTAGTCACTACGTTTCCTGAATTTGCATCATTAGCATTCTAAAAAATAGTAATCTTTTTGTTACCTTATAAACAATGAATACAATTTTTAGTTTAAAGCTACTTATTAAACTGTACAATACATAAATATTAGATATCTTACCACACCAGGTTCAACTTTTATCTTTTTAGCAGGTGGCGAATCTTTAATTACATTGGTGGCTGGTGTTTCTTCAGTACAGTGAGTTGCAGAAGCTACTGCGGATTCTAAATCCTTTCTAATTGCATCTTTAGCTGCTTCACTTCCTTCTTCCTTCTTCACTTGTGGTAATTGTGCTATAGTTGTACTAATCGACGACTGGTTATTATTCAAAGCACTAGCTTTTCTTAATAACGTAATGAGATCACGTTTTAATCTAGCTTTTTGTAGACATATAGGAGAATAACATGTAGATGTTAAACTCTGAGTCGTAGTCGTAATTTTTCCCGGGGGCGCCGTCATGTTACAATATCGCGAATAACAACTACCATTTTTGCTAAGCCTCATTATGTTTGCGTACTGAGCTTTTACGTGTTGAATGCGTTTCCCTATTGCATTTAACATTTCTCTTGTTGAAGTGGACATAGGTTTAGGCTGCTTTCCAGTGAGGATACTTTGCAAGGGATTATCTCCCCCGTCTGTATCACTTTCTTCGTTATTTTCTATGTCAACCTCGGAATCTCCATCAGCTTTTTGATTGACTGATTGATTTGATACTTCTTTTGATTTTTCCTGAAATTTAATTATGCATTACATATTTTACATATCGTCCAATTTACTTGAATTAAAATAAAATCATATGTATTTACAGATTGCAACAATTTCCTTTCTTCCAAAAGCTTCAAATGTGTCCTACGCGCCAGGAAATCATCGATTCTTGTTTTTTTAGCAATTTTTGGATAATGAAGTCTTCCATTAGTAGTTAGTGCTTTAGTAATATCAATTTCTTCGAATTCCTTAATTGGTGTAAAGACTTTCTCAATTTTCATTCCAGCTAAAACTAAAGAAACAGATCTATTTAATATCCTTAATGTAAATACAAAATGATTAAGCTTTTAATACACATACATGATAAATTCATTTTAGTTTCCTGTTTAATCGCTTGTGAGTCTGTTTTTGTCGAACTTTCTTCTGCTTTTGTGACCGTCTTCGTACTTTCTGTATCATCCACTGTCTCGGTTTTTATGTTTTCTGTTTTTAAATCTTGTGACACTGATGAATTAACCGCATCCTTCGACGAGTCTTCTTCTTTAATCTCTTGTTTGATTTTAATATCTGTGTTATATTCCTCCTTTTTAGTTGGACAATATTCTTTTATTAAGAATTCATACGTAGGAGGATCTAACGCTAATATCTTTAATCCCTCCTGGTCTTTAATTTGTACCATAACTTTTTGAGGACCCGTTCGAAGACCTAATTTTGACATATCAGAAAACCTGTAACGACGACTAGCAGAGACCCACAACCAACCACCTTGTCCATGAACGCGGTATTCTTCTCCCTTCTGTTTCCAGACCTGATGTTTTAAACCTAACGTATATTTAACGAAGTTAAATAAACGATTACGTTCTTCCTCGTCCTCTCTTTCCTTCTTATCTTTCTTATCTTGTCGCTTCTTCTCTTCCCGCTCAAGAGCTGTTACTCTTTGTAACTTGACGTGTCCAAGCTGATCGTGCCATACGCTAGCGAACACAACTGATTTAATACATGCTTGCAATACAATAAGGGCACGGGCAAAATCCCTAGGATTAACACAAGCACCTACTGCTGTGGTCCAAGGTTTACGTAAAAGAGGCCAGTTAGTATGCATAAATGATGCTTGAATGCTACTTTCAAGTTGAAGAATTGTCTGACGGAGCGTGCTCACTAAAAGCGCACGAGTTCCCGTCAGACTTCCCACCCACTTAAATTCAGAAGCTTGTGTAAGCGAGAATTTATGTGATAAATGCCTCTTTTTATCGCGTTCTTCATTACGTTGGGCCTTATTTAAAGCAATAGGATTAGTGCTGTATTGATTCACGTATGATTTAAAAGTATTATCCATTCCCAATTTAAAAAGATGAGTACCAGAAGCTATTTGATGAGCTTTCTGTCTTGTTAATCTAGTACCATCCCCTTCTTCTTTTAAACTTTTATCTAGTTTTTCCAGTTCTTCTTTGGACAGTTGTCCACTGTTACGTTTCTTCAAATCATCCATATTAAACGTTCTAGGTTGTAAAGACCCTGTTTTCGACCTTGTAACAATTGTATGCTTTTTCCCTATAAAACAGAGTAAAATTGTTAATTGTTATATGTTATTCTCTATTTAAACATATCTATGTATAACTTACCATCTTTACCAATTTTTGAGATACCCTCTTCTCCTTCTAATGCTTCTTCATCAATTTCTTCAGATGAAGATGATGTACCAGTTTTGGTACTCTTATTTGCTATATCTGTCATATTGGTATCTACACCATCAATTTCTACATTTTCGCCACCAATTTCAGAAGGATTTTCTCTTGAACTGGATTCATCATGCGATTTTGTTTCTTGCTGATTCGTAACATTTGCTAACTGTTCCTCGATAGAATCGGTACCCTCGTGTATTCGGCGTACCATTTCTTCAGCCTCTTGTCTTTGCTTTTCTTTCTTTTCTTCTTCCTCCTTTTCTTGTTTCTCTTGTCGTTCCTTTTGCAATTTTTGTATAAGACCTATATTGTAAAATAACGTGGTCTAAGTATTTCCTTTTTGATATATAAAATATTACAAATATTAGTGAAACTTACCGTTTTCTACCTCTATATATGATTTCTTATTACCCTTGTACTGATTAGTAATTTGTTCTGTAAGTTCCATTTGTCGTACAATCTCATCTTTGTAATCTGATAATTCTCTATAAAGTGCAACTTCCATTTCATTCCGGTCTAAACAAAGCATTACTTCATTTAGTTGCAAAGGTGTACTGTAATACCAAACTTCACCATCTTCACTTTCACTACAATAAACAATCAGCAACAATTATTAATTTAAAAACAATAATCTAACATTTTTTTCATTTATGAATGATGAAATGTATTTACACAAAAACTCTTCTTGCAAGAAACCAATATTTTCTGCCATGTCTGTCAAACCCTAGATGTTCTTGGCGACATAATGAACCATTCTTTTCAACATCAGGTATACAATCTGCAACTCCTGTAACTTTGTGAGCTTTACATGTACTACATTGCCAGTCTTCAGTAGGAACATCAACCAATGGAGGTTCAACACATTCTAAGTGAAATACAGCTGGACAAGTTTCACAACATAATAAATCTCCCAACCGATGACATACTCTACAGTGATCATCATAATGCATATTTCCTAGAATCAGGTAATTATTACATATAAACTATTTTCTTGTTCATAAATGTTTATAGATTTAAGTAAAAATAAATTCATAATATAACTATAACATAATTTCTACTTAATTGAAAGAAACCATTAATAAAATATTTTAACACCTAAAATTCTTTTATAACATTAAAAAACAAAATAAAAATAAAACTGACATTTCAGCATGGACATATAAAATTTTCCTGCTGCTTAAATTCACAACCTATAAATTAGGTATACAATAATAAACAAAATAACATGAAATACCATTTAGTGTACCTTCATGCAGTAAGTCTTCTCTCACTGGGTTCGTGATTAAAAATTGATCTGTCAAAAACTGTAGCACCTTAATTCTATCCTCGATAGAAGTAAAAGGATATTCACAAGTCGATAAAATATGTAAAATATTTTGATCAAAAGACTTGTCACTTTCTACATAAGAACGTAATGCTTCTGGCCAAGTCATAGGATCCACAAAATATAAACTAACATTTACAGAGTCTTTCTGATCAAGAGGGCCAAAATGTGTTTGCTGAGAATCCTCTTCTCTAAGAAGAGCTTTAATAAGCATAATATGTATTTCGGCTAATAAATTGGTTTGATCCTCGCACATAAGCGCAGCGCAAAAGTCTTCAAACCTAAAGGCCGAAAGACGCACCAAAGTACGAAAGTGTCTTAATACTTCGTAAATTGATAAAGATGGCATAACCAGTTCTCTAGGAACTAATAAATCATCTGAAGATTTAGGTAAATTCAGTGGCGGTAATTCTCTGTTCTGAAGCCAAAGCGGTTCTGGACTTGGCGGTCTTTGCTGGCTAAGAAGTGTTTTACGGGGCGTGCCACTAGTATTACTGTAACTAGAGAGAGAAAAGTCACTGTCACTGGAGGGATCAGGTTCTTCTATACTTTCTGATGAATCTAAGTCACTTTGCAGAAGGTCCTCCTCAACCTCGCTCTTTTCACTAGACTCATCACCAAAATCCGAACCATAATGATATTCTGAGTCATTATAGTCGACATTCGGATTGTAACCTCGGCGTTGATACACACCAGAACTCGAATGACCACCTTTACGCGAATGTCTGTCTCTGGCTCCTCGAGATTTTCGAGTTCTTGTGCTCCTTCTGCTTTCTTCGCTCTCGACCGGTGATGTCGGTCTCGAAGGTGTTGGTGTACTTGGCTGGGAATTTGGTGTTTCTGAACCCTTGTTTTGCAAATACTTGGGCTTTTTCATAAGATGATATTGAAACTTTTTGGGCCTTTCCATGACCACCGATTTCGGAGGTCGGCCCCGTCTCTTCGACCCTCTCCCCGTCATTGTCCGTCACGCACTGTCAAAAAAATGCCACTTACTTAACACGTGGTTTGTGGAAACGCGCGCTTGTAAACAAATACAAATGACACCGTAGCAATGAAATGGAACCCATGTTTGTACTCTGATCTTTGCGCCATTTTTCGGCTACGGTCACGTGACCAAACACAATTCTTTCATGATTAACGTTTCGGTACGATCTTGCGTGGCTTCGATCTTTCTGTCGACGAGCAACGATCACTTCCCCGTATCAATAAGAACCCGTTTTACTATCAATAACGACCAAAATAAGTACAGAATCATTCACCGAGAGTGAATATAAGGGGAATTTACAATATCTGATTCTTTAAGAGAGCGCTGCTCCAATTGGTTCATGGAATCGCCGCCATGTCTGGCCTCGAACGCATCTACTCGAAAAGTAGACGAGATCTTCGATAAAATTTTCTTCTTCCCTATCTGTAGCGATCTATGGGCTGACCAGTCCCTCGCGTTTGAATTTCAAAGGAATTCAAACAATCTGGAATGCTGTTTGATCGCTTTTTAATTTCTCACGAAACGTACAGACGATCCAATCGCTTTCACCGTAACTACACAAGATCCTGTCAGATCAACAATAGGTGGCGACATGCGCGGTCGCAAGAACGCGTTTCTAACCACACTTCCGATAAAACGTTTATTCTTTATTTGTTTTCTATTCCTGCTTTTTTAAAATATATTCTATTTTAATTCACTGTACTTTTTGCCGTAAACAAATTGCGTAATTAATTTGTACATTCGATTGACCAAACTCACTGTTACCCGCAAGAGAGAAATGTAACCTTAGTACAAATAAAACTACGATAGAGGACACCACTTTAATTTCAACTTGTATATTGTTTTGTCGGTATACATTTTTTTAGTTTGAACTATCATAGCAACTAAAATGAACAATATTAAATATAAAATAAAAATTTATCGTACCTTCGGCATACAACTTATTTAATATCAAAAGTCAATTAACTGAAAAGAAATAAACGATGAACGCGACATCTTTGTAATCAAAACTAAAATTCTGTCAAATTTAAATACAAATATCTGATGCGTACTGTAAAATTAAAATATACTTTGAAATGAAATATTTTATGAAACACAATATTCGAGGAAAATTAATTCTTTTGATTTATTTATAATACAAAGAATACTATCAAAGTAATTGATTAACAAATGAATATACAACTACGTTCTATTAATCTGAATAATGATGAAATTTAGACGGCACAACAAAATTAGAATTAAAATTCAATTTGTAACAATAAATTTCTAAAATAATTTACAAATATTAGCTGCATTCTAACAATGCATAGTTTCTTATGTAAATGAAATAACGATCTAATTCTAATTAATCATTGAAACAATAACATAAGCGTATTTTTGCAAAGTGTTACACACAAATCGCGTGCAAAACGCACTGTCAGAAGTGACAAAAGATTCTCGTATGACGTACTTTCATTACAAATTACGATGCCATCTTTGAAACGGAAGCACCATCGCAAAAGCACAACAGAGTCGAAGGAAGGAGGGGGTGAAAGAAAAATGGCCGCTTAGCGAAAATCGAGAAATACGAAAAAGCGAACGGGTGTGATGATCGAAGGTGAATACGAGTTGACAGATTTTTTTTACGAATAAACTGACGAATAACGAACGAAATGCGAAACGAAATGACAATGTACACGTTGAAACCGATTGTTTCTCTTCCACAAACATTGCATCGTACAAAAACGATGTACGAAATGCAAAATATTCATGAAGAACGATCAAAAGACGACCATACGGAAGCCGAGAACAAGATCGTGCCTGATATCACTGAGCAGGTTATCAACTTTTTAAAGGTTTTCATCATTTCTGTTATCCTGCCGACGTGAAAAAACATTATCTAGTTAACTAGAATCGGTGGTTTACTCACGCGTTTGCTAAGCATGGTAGCTACGAGTCTTTCTTCTGTCTCAAGCTTGTTGTGCATGACTCCTCCCAAAATTTCCACAAGCACTAATCACGATCGACCGGGAATATGGTTCTACGGGCTTGATCGATGCTTGCCCCTCCAATTTTTCATCTAACAGGACATTACGCGACTATAATACGTGAAAAATCCAGCTTGCTCGAAGGATAACCGAGAACGCGCCGATAATTATTATAGAAGAAGGGCAAGCTTACTAAATTAGAACTGCACTGAAAGCTACAAAGTACAGTTGTATAACCAAACACACATAAAACCTAACCCAGTAAAAGTTATAGCTGCTTACTGATATTAATCAACAGTGTTATTGGTGAACTGTCAAGTTGTAATGTGTAGTGTTATTTTTTTAAGATTTTTTTTTCCTAATACAGAATTGGCAATGGATCTATTACATATTAAATGTTAACATTTTCTAATTTAAATAAAGGTGTATCATACAAAATATATTGTCATAAACATTGTAGTACACTGTAAGATCTTGATTGAAAGCGACTGGTAGTTGTAATGTAAGATGATTTAAGGACATTTTGTATAAAAGTATATGTATATTATGTCATAATGTAGTTTTTGTAAAATAAGGAGACAGGTATCATCTTAATGCGAAATAATTTATAGTTTGTCTAATAAGATACATATTCAAGTAGACTATTACTTGTTATAAGAATATTATTAAATGTAATTTAAAAAGGTATTTTATTTCAGAGTCCATTACCAGAATATACTGCATTGGAAGTTAGGCAAGAAAAAATATTAACACAACTTGCAGAACTTAAACGACAAGTATCAGCTCTTAGCGACTTCTTAAAACAGACAAATGAAGTTACAGCAGCTGATAACAGTCATAAAGCTCAGGTAAGATTACCATGGTACAATATTATATTTTTCAAAGTTGAAGGTTTGAATTAAAATAATTATTTATTACTTATTTTTATAGGACTCAGTTAATGCAAATCTTATTATTAATGTAAATCCAAACAGGCCACCTTATTTTATATTGGCATTACAAAAATTATGGACAGATACCAATATTAAAGTACAAACTTATACTCATTCAAGTGTTAATAAGGGTGGACTCATAACTCATCAATTAAATACAAGTTCTTCCAAAAAGAATGTCATTGATTTATCATTGATTTGGAAAGATGGTAAAGTAAATTCATATTTGTAAGAATTCTTAAATAGTAAGAAATGTATTTTTATAAATGTTTTGTTTTCAGTCGAGGATCTTGAACTTATACTAGGCTTACGTGGTTATCATATAACTGGAGAAATCAATTTTTTAAGATATTTAAGTAGATTATTAAATTCGCATAATTATGAAAATTCTGTTTGTCCAGAAAAAGTAAATACAATTGATTTGATATTAGACTTGTGTTATTGTTTACATTTTGAAGAATCATTGAAAAAGAAACAAGAAATACTCTCATTGATAGCTGATAAGTTAGATGCAAATTGGTTTGATAACAAAACACCTGATATAGCAGATGTTGCTGCATGGTGTACAATTAAGCAAAGTTTTCCAAAGAAATATCCATCTAAACTAAACAGGTGGTTTGAAACATGTGAGAAACTTTTTGTATAAATTAAACTTTCTTATTAAAACATATTTAATATCTGTATGAAGTTTCATTTTTTAAAAAAGTGTTTTAAATCCTAACCACTCTCAATTAAATTTATAAAAACATATTGCCAATAAAATTGTGTACATATGATTTAATTTCAAATGTACATTGAGTAGACGTGTTATTATTATATAAAAATTTTGACAGAGGTGATTTACATGTAATTTTGAACTGAAGTATTTTATTGGCAGTGTTGTAAAAATAATTCAATTCTACATTTTTGAGAATATAAAAGAATATTTATGACACATGATGGTAATGATCAATGACTGACATTAACAAACAATAATTTTAATTAAAAGGAATCAAACTAGAAAGCAAGTTGTGTGGTGCAATGAACAAAATTTTAGATACAAGAAGCAAATATTTAATAAATAACTTGCTCTCTAGTTCATGATGATGATGATAATGATAATGATACATAATCATGATTTTTAAATAGTAACTGATGTTACAGCTGTATCTGAAATCAATAATAGATATTTATCGCTCGTATTTTACCAACAAATTATACTAAGTAATTATTCTATCGAATATGATAGAATAATTATAGCTGCCATCACTTTAAATTTCTAGTTGTTTTCGTTTCATTTTATTTTAATTCACATTTTTAATAATAAATTTATAAATTTTAGCATATATTGTCAAAAAATTAGTTTTACATTCGTTACAACTTTTCGTCATTTCGTTTCTTCACCGTAAAATTAATGCTAGAAACTGGGAAACATTTCAAATATGTATTAATATCAGTCTGAAATGTTTTTACATTTAAAATACTTTTCGTATGAAAGAATAATTACATTAAATAAATGCTTTATGGTAAAAAAATGTACTTTTCTAAATCGGATAAACCTCTATATGATAGTAGTTTGCAATACTGTAAATATAGTATATACTACAGATGAATTAATGATATTAAAAATTAAACAAGTTTCATAAATTCCTTATATGCAAATGTCAATGTATTAAAGTCAAATTGCTCGTTTCATAATTCCAGACAAGAATCTATTTAAATGATAAGTATCTAAAGAAGATAAATACATATCTTTATGCACTATAGATTATTCGGCTTAAATTTTTACCTAATGTTGCCTAAGCTGTGCACTAAATGTACAAGTGTCATACTAATATGTTACTACTATTTTGTATTTAATTCCTAGAAGATTTATGTACATCATACACTATAATATTAAAAACAAATTTACTTATCGATAGAAATGCACGCAGTCGCATTTTATATAAACAGTTACTATGTACTGTTTATTCGGTATTGTAATATTATCAAACTTAGGCATCTTCAATTTATGAAACTTATCAAAAATTGATATGATAGGCCTGATTGTAAAGTGCTTTTACATCTAAGTTGACATTTTATAATTTAGAACTTTGTTTTGTAATATACATATTCGAAAGTTACAATAAAAAATGTGGTAAACATCTTTTCATTCGGGTTGTAACATTCATGTAAGTGATAATACAATCAGTTCGATTTGTGAAATATGTATATCATAAGTTCTAAACAGAATATGATATTCGTTTTCATATTACTGTGGTATTAAAATATTAATTTGTTTCTAATGTTAACGTTTATGTAGTTGTTTCTGGCAGTTTTCGTTACTGTATTATTGTTTATTATTAACAATATTATGCTACTAAATTGTTAATCTGTCATGTTGACAGATTATTTTGAATAGGATATCCTTCTTACAGTTAAAAAAAATGCATAAGCATTGCATTTTTCGAGATCCATGCAATATTTTGTTTCAGCTTTACTTAATAAAAGTAAAAAATATTCATTATACACATCATGACCTTATCTAAAATTATAAATAATATGTATCTCAATATATCACAATATGACGGTGCCAGAAGCATATTAAAATTACTATACGAAGTATCTGCGTGCGTGAAACACTTGTAAATATGTGTTTCAACGTAAGTCTTTAACTCTGGTACATCTTTGTGTACTTTTAATGCCGAGCTATTAAAATCCTAACTACTCTATGAAATTGATCAAAATTTTAACAACCAGTCTCTTCTTGTATACGTCTAGTGATTTAACAAATTTTTCTCCTAAATTATTAATTCGTTCATATAATTTCAAATTCAATAACGATTATGAATGTCATTACGTTGAATCGGCACCCTTATTCATTGAACAGAACTTTTCTTACTATATTATGAACAACTTATACAAATGACGAGAAGCCAGGTAAAGGTGCCCTTGACCTTGCCATATTGTTCATAATAATTTGACCTCCATTTAAACTAACAACCGCACTACCTTCAGGTTCAGAATCAGTATACGATGAATAATTCCTAACTGGTTTTTGACGCTTCCATGACTGCCTTAAGGAATCGTTGACGTTAGCGTAATGATTTACAAAGGAATGTGGATCTGATTGTACACTTTCATTTTCACTTTCAGATCCCTGTAACATAAAACAAGAAATACAATATTTTTTACGCATTAAATGTATCTTAAGTTTTAGAACAAAAATATTTACCTGTGAATCTGTTGAACTAATTTCAGAAGGTTTTTCCGTAACGCTACTATCATCAGGATTTTCATCATATCCTTTAAGACTTTCTTCATCGCTATGGTATGCAACCGAGGCTGGTGAAGGTCTGGGAGGCGATTTGCCTAACATTGTAGGAGGTGGAGGATGCATCGATTTTCTTGCTAAAGTATTTCTTTTACCCAAGGTACCACAGGCACTTGCCATGTTGATAGCACCACCACCTCCTTGTCTTGATCTATAGAGTTCTAAATCAGATTCCTGTCTATCATCTGTATCCATTGCCATAGACTCTTCAAGTGTCTTTTGTGCTTCTTCTAAAACAGTAATTTCTTCGTTATGTATAAATATACAAGTTATATTATTTTAATTATATATGCAGCAACTTACGTTTATACTTGTAACTTTTACTCTTCACACATAGCACCGCTATGACCATTATAATGATTATAATCGAAGTAGCAGCTAAAGTAACCATAAACCAAGTTTGTCTATAGAATGGTTTATGTTGTAAATATGCATATTCCAGATACAACTTTGAGGGAGTTAGTATCTAAAATACATACATTGTTAATATTATATGCATACAGTACTTAGAATTTTATTACTTACCGTTTCTGTGGAGTATGCAGGATAACTGATTCCATAGCGATTGTATGATATTACCCTGAATAGATATGATGTGGATGGAAGTAAATTTTGATAGGATACAGAATACTCTGTCAGTGGACCATTACTACTGCGTACTATTGTCTGCCAACGACTGTCATCTATAATTACAAATAATGGTATTTAAGTTTCATGAAAATTTTTATATACATGTGACAACTTCTGCAGGTTTTCTTATAATTATTATTAATATAAACAAAACGATACACTGTTTCTTCTTTTAACAAAATATTTTTTACAACAGACTTCACTTGTGTCTGTTACGTAAGTCAATGTTTTGTTGATTTTCTCAATGTTGTGAGCTTATCAATGAAATTAAATCGAAAACTTGCGAAGTTACGTTATAGTTCTATATTACATGTTTTAAGGGCATCGATGAAATATTAGATCAAGGAATTGGAAAGTTAAGATTGTAGGAATACTGTTATCTAATAAAAGTCAAACTTCAGCTAGTCATTTATCTTAATAATTTATAGCAGCATTCAAAGTTAAGATTTTTTTATATATATTTCTAACTGAATTCATGGAAAATGTCATGCTATGACATCATCATGCAATCAACAGTACAAATACCACTAAAAAAAGTACCACAGGTTATTACAAAGAGGAAGCCATCATATTTTAACACTAACAAATCATATTTAACTGTTAAGACCATCTAATATAATAACTGATGTTTACGTGCACTAACACTTACAATGCTGCCATTCTTCCATTGCTATATGATTACAAAAAAGGTAATATTAGTAATGAAAACAGTACTGTTTTGTAACTTTATATTAATGATATAAAATTGGTATGAAATGATATGAAATTAATCTCTTTTATTCATATGAGCATGTACTCCTTTCTTGTTTTCTCTTTACGATCTTCAAAGACATGATTTTAAATTTGAACTACCAATTATCAATAATATTCAAATATTTACCTTTTCGACGCGTTTCAATGTAATATCCAAGGATAGGTCCTTTTCCAGAAGCTCCATTAGTCCACTGTAATTCAACACTGGATACAGTCTTAGTAACAGCAAGATTGCTGGGTGCCATCGGCGAACCCTCTTGTGGACCCGTTGTGACATTTCCTGATATAGGTGGTCCAAAATCGATAGTTTGTGCTCGAACCATAAAAGTATAAGTTTCTTCCTCTTCTAAAGGTTGAATTAATAAGCTCGTTTCTGTTACTTTCTGTTTCACTTGCTTACTAAATCCTTTAATAAAATAAAACATTATTCACGATCAATTCACAATACTTAAAACAAGGATGACAATTTTTAATATCGAGAAACGTACGATCATTTTGTTCTGCCGTTTCATAAGTAACAATATAGCCCACTATTTGGCCATTTCGTAATTTCGGGGCTTCCCAAGAGACACGAAGACTAGTCATTGTAATTTCAGTGAATTGTAAATTATATGGGGGTCCAGGAATATCCTGAAAAATTCAATACAAGTTATCAAATAAATCGAAGCTATAAATTAACTTTAATCAACGTTAAACTAACTTCTTTTGTTCGAACAGTAATCGGTGGAGTTCGTGGGCCATCCCCAGCAGGATTAAATGCCAACACTTGAATGCGATACTCCGTATATTTATCTAGAAATACTAAACTATGCGTTAAGTAAGATGCTGGTACAACTTCTATTTCTTCTTCTTGTTTGTTTTCCAGCTCTTGTGGAGAATCAGTAACTAAATAGAAAATCTGAAACAGAAACATAAAGATATATTTTTTAAACTTAGTCGAAATAGCAAGCACATGTGTATAAGTATAATAATACTTTATATCCTAATAAGTCTCCATTTTGCATGTTGGCTTGGGGTGGTTTCCAGCGTAACTGAACTTCAGTAGAAGAAATCGGTTCTGCTTTCAAATGTTGTGGTTCTCCTGTAGGAACTGCTTCTCCCACGTACACAGTTACCGGAGGACTTGATGGACCTTCCCCTTCGGAATTGAAAGGTAATACTACTACCTCGTAATACCTATCTTCCGTTAAATCGCTCAAAACAATTTTTGCAGCCTACAATTAAAGCAGAAATTAATAAACCACTTCAGATTATATTTACTTATTTATGTTTAAATTAGTTACTTTTATCCCCAATATTTCTTCTTTCGGAGTGTCCTGAAGAGCCGTTGGGAAATCAGAAACTGGCTGGTAAATAACGCGATAACCACCAGTTTCATGATCTCCACTCCAATATACTTCATCTATTGGATTCCAATGAACCTCTATACTTGATGTTGTTATTGGAACAACTTTCAATCCAGTAACACCCTTAGAAGGTGCTGTAAATTGATACCAGAACAAATTATATCTTCATTAAATAAATTCCGTCTAAAGCAGAATCTTTACATACCTGCTGGTAAAGTTTGGACTTGTACAGATTCCGTGCTCCAAGTTGAAGGACCTATATCGTTAGTGGCTTGTATCCGAAACTGATAAAGTGTGAACGGTTTCAAATTATTTGCTGTATAAGACGTCAAAGTCGGTTCTACCCTTTCGGGGATCGTTTGAAATGGTCCAGAATTTTCGGATTGTTGTACTGTGTAATAACTATAAAAGATGATACAAAATAATATACATGATCAAATGCGTATCAAATTATACAAATTTTGGTCAAATATGTACCGTAGTGGGGCAAATCCATCACGACCAGGTGTCCAGCTAAATGTTATCTGTCTACTTTGTACTTGTGATCTGCTCACTTGTGGCATTGATGGTGCTTGAGGACGTTCCCTGTTATTTGTAGTGAAAACGATAGCGTATGCTGTTTTACCCCAACCTAATCTCGTTTGTGCAGTTACCGAAAACATGTAATACTTTTCTGGCTCTAACCCAGTTGCTCTGAAAAAGTTTGAAGATATAGATTTCACATAGATTTTCAAGAAACATATGTTGTCATAAAAATGTCTATAACCCTCATACCTAAAAGTTCTATCGGATGCAGGAAATTCCTTAGAAAACTGATGATCCTGACTGTTATTTAAATGAAACATTACTTTGTAAGCAAGGATCTCGCCATTAGGATCCTCTGGCGTATCCCAAATAATGCGGGCAGTGGTAAAGCTTACATCAGGAAACGACACATTTGACGGAGGTCCAGGAGCTAAAATATTTTTTATTTAATTAATTGATTTCATAGAAAGATGTTTAAAATTGTAATAAAAAAAGTACCATCTTCAAATGTTTGTACTCTAACTGGTGGTGTACTTAAGGTTCCATCACCAAGCCTCGTATAAGCTAGAACTTGTACATGGTACTGAACAAATTTTCGAAGTTCTGTTAAAGTTGTCGTAAAAGTAGTATTGCTGGGAATGTTCTTGTATTGGAATGCTGATCTAGCATTAGAGCCATAGTAAACTTTAAATCCTTCTATCTGACCATTCTGATGTTCTATAGGAACATCACCCCATCTCACTAATATTGTCGTAGAAGAAGTCGCATTGGCTTCTACGTTAACAGGTCCCATCGAGGGAACTGGATAAAAATAAAGATGTATTAGCAATAACCAATAGGTTCATTAAATTATTCTTTCGTCAGATTTACCTGCTTCACGAGTTCTTTCGATAGCTTTAGGACTTAATGTAGATGATCCGACATCGTTAAATGCTTGCATCACAACTTCGTACAGAGCATACTCTTCCACATTTTCTAAAATGTAAGAATTCGCTGTGTGGTCCTCGATTGTTATGCTTTTCGACGTATTTGTACGAACTTCGGTATAAGTAACATTATATCCTCTCGGATTACCGTACCATTCAACTTGCTGTAAGGGCTGCAAAATAAATACATTTCAGGATTCCGAATTCTTTGTCTTTCCATATAAAATGAAAGTGAAAACTTACAATCCACCTGACACGTAATTCCGTAGCACTCATTGCGCGAACTGTAACATTTCTAGGAGGATGTGACGGTGGTGCTTGAATCGTTTGAAATTCTTTCGTAGGCTCGGAAGGTTGAGAAGCACCAACAACGTTATTTGCGATTAATCGTAGTTTGTATTGCATAAAAGGAATTAGGCCACCTACAGTGATTGTACTAGCATCAGGATCTGAGACTTCGTATATGTTGTACCAAGTGGTATTCCGGGTAGTTTGTGCTTGCACTGTCCATTTTGTTATAGATGAATTACCATCGAACCCAGGTGTAAATTGAAGAACGACAGAGAATGCATCTATATTTGACAATGCTAGTTTAGTCGGTGGTTCAGGAAGAACAGGCTCGACACCCGATTGAATGACGGCTACTTTTGGTTTCCCGGGACCAATCGAAGTCCAAGCGACGACTTCGAATTTATAATGTGTCATTGCTTGCAAGTGTTCAATTTTTGCTAATAAATCGTTAGCTGTAAAGTTTTCAACTCTTAAAGAATCTGGTATATCTTTGATCATATATTTCAATTGATAAAGGGTGAGGATGCCGTTGATTTCTTTTGGCGGTTTCCATTTAACGGTAAGGGCACGATCACTTATATCCTCGAATTGTAAATTTTCTACTTGTTCAGGTACATCTTCGAGTGTACGAATTTGAACGGGGGAACTTCTTTCACCGTCACCGGGATCGGTGAAGCATAACACGGTTATATTGTACAATGTATATTTCCTTAAACCAGTCATAATGGCACTTTGTTCCGCAAGAGGATCAAATAGGCTAGGTGGCACACTCATTGACTTGTATTCGTTTGCTTCTGTAAAGTTAGAGCCGATCCAAGCTTGCAATTTGTAACCTTGATTAATTCCGTTAATTTTTTGTGGATTCGGAGGTTTCCACCACACTTTAATTGCCGTAGAATTTACAGCCTTTGCTCTCACATTAGTTGGTGGAGCTTCTGGTACTCCTTCTTTAGTTTTAATCTTCAAACCCTCGGTGAATACTCCCACCCCTTTATCGTTATATGCTGCTATTTGTACAATGTAATCTTTCCACGTAATTAAGTCGGTAATAAGATAATTTCTTTGTGCTTCGTTGGTTATATTCTGTATCGTCCACGGACTGTCATTGTAACCGTACAACCTATACCTCAACACGTATCCTAAAATATGGCCGTTTCGATATTCTTCCAATGGTAGTTGCCACTGTGTTATTATTTCTGACGAGGATCGAGCGGAACCAACAAATCCAACAGGTGGTCCACTCGGGGCTGAAACGACATTCATCGATAAGTCAAATTCTTATTGCATCTTTGGTGGTGTTTTTAGTACTTACGTTCTTGAGGCAGAGCCACTACGTTACTTGGATCTGAAGGAGGTCCCTCACCGACACTATTTTCCGCACTTACTCGAAACTGATATGCAGCCGCTGCTTTCAAATTGTTCAGTAATACCCAACGACTTTGTGCCGAAACATTATCACACTCGGTGATCCAATTTAGCGCTGAATCGGGTATGGGTCCTATGAAGATAGAATTATGGGTGGTTCTCTTTTACCCAAATATAATTTAAGCACATTAACTTACCGAGATCGGAGACCTCTCGCCTCTGAACTATAAATTTCTTCGTTGGACTGTTTCCGTCAAAACCTGGTACCCAACTGACATTTATAGTACGAGGAGAAATCCGTTCAACTCGATCTGCCATGACATTTATTGGCGCGAACGGTAATTCAATTACACTAAGACGAGCTGATCGAGTCTCGTTTCCTCCCGGAGAAACCACGGAACACATATATTCGCCCACATCGGAAGCCCGGACAGCAACTATTTCCAATGTCCCATCGCTACGCATCTTTACTCTTTGACTGGCTTGCGTATTTATGACTCTAAAGAAGTGAATGTTTATTAGACAATGAATGTGCACTGAGTTAATCTAGTAATACGTACTGTGAATTGTGGAACCAAGCTATATCATATAAAACGCTTGGATCGTTGGAAACTTTGCATTGTAATTCCGCAGTGTATCCGAGGAGAACCGAAGTATCAACAGGTGGTTGAACAATTTGTGTTCGAACTGAAATACGTAAAATACTTGTAATTTTTGTTGCGTGTTTATTACACAGGTGCAAGTATGTAACAAATTTTACAAAATTCTTTCGTAGCTTATACAAAATTAACTCTGAATCTATTAATTACAAATGAGTTAATACGTCATTCAAGTAGGATGCACATAATATAGTAGAGAAGTTATGACAATGACTATGCACAGTTTACCTAAAACAGTAAGGTATGCAGAACCGTTTACAGAACCAGCTTCATTAGCTCGAATGCATGTATATTTTCCTGCATCGTTTGGTTTCACAGCGGCAATTAAAAGATCACCGTTATCCAGGACCTGTACTCTTCCAGCGATTTCCACAGGGATTGTATCTATTGATGGATTAAAGTCATTACTTCATAATTCACGTAATAGACCTATTCATAATTCCACATTATTCACCATTATAAATCCACGTGGTATTAGGTATTGGAGCCGCTACAGCGTTACACGATAATGTTGCGTCTTTTCCATCTAATATAGTAAGATTCTGTGGACCATTTTCCATAATTGGTCCAGATGCTGGAAACAACGCAAACATCTTATTATATTATTTATCGACAGCGAAAATTGGTCACATGCACGCAAAATAAAGAAAGGCAGAAACAATTGGACACAAAAAGTAAAATTTTCCCAGTTCAGCATTTTCCAATATGATTTATCTACTTTTTCAAATATGTTGGACTGTTTATAATGAAACATGTATCATAGGATAAAATGTTAATAAATGTATAATGGAAAATCCTGAATTAACCCAGAGGAGACTTTTATTTGCAATAATCAATGTTCTAACACTAAAACTTCATAACTTGTACTAAAAGGATCATGTTACATATACTCAATAGCACAACTACAAATTTTATTCCTAATCTAACAGTACTTGTAAGTAAGAACGTGCTAATCACGCTGTATTTATTTTTGCTGTATCTTATGTACGTGCAAAAATTCAAAATAATACAAAATCTGTAATGCTGCTTAACATGGATATTTCTGTTTGTAAATCACAAGTGAAGTGTTCTTTATTTTAAGAAATATTATTCTACTCGTGTTAAGTTTAATTACTCGACATTGAATATTTTACATTTTTTGGAACAATGTGTTTTCAACATAAGGGAATCGTCGTGCTTTGTGGATGTATTCACTAATAACTACCAGAAAAAGAAAACACGTTTAGCTGGTAAAAGCAAACATTGTGATGTGATATGCATTCTTCAAGCATGTGCCTAGGATAATTTAAAAAACAAAATAGGTGGGTATTTCGTGGCCACGTAGAATCTTACTGTCTGGATACTGAGAGAACATAAAACGGCGATCAGATTGGCGAACTCTGACTACATTGTAGCCAGCTGCCCAGCGGACAACTCTGTTTTTCACTCTGCTTTCTAATCCTTCTGGCCCACAAAAAATATGTCATTTGTAATGAGTAGAAATAAACACTGATTAATAAAAAAGAAAAAGGAAATAAAAGAAAGATTGATTACAATTTTTTTAGAAACTCAGTAAGCTATATACTAACTTTTAGCTTTTAACCAAGTGTAACTGGATGCTTCGCCAACTTCATTCGCAGCAAGACATTGAAACATTCCTGAATCATCCATAGTCAATTTTTTGATTGTCAGTGAACCATCTTCTTCCATTGCATACCTACAAGCAAATTGAAATATATATCTTGCTTTTAACGTACTGTTACATATACTGTTAAGTATTTATACAGATTCTAATCAGAATTGTCCTCTTGTTAATTGTTCTTAGAATCATACCTAGATCCAAGAAGATGGTCAACAGGCTCAGCATTGCGGAACCAGCTGATGTTAGGAGGAGGAACACCAACAGCATCGCATGGCAGTGTTACAGTTGATCCATAGTCACTTAAAGTCTCTCTTTTTAATTCTGTTATAAATGCTGGTTTTTCTAAACAATGGATAATAAAAATTTCATGAGTATCACTTTATTGAAAGTATCAATACATCTAAATACTCATGAGCTTAGTCATTGCAACAGTTGATCATTGATTTTATAATGTACTCTAATTATTTCTACATGGTATAAAGAATGATCTAAAAGTTATTAGATCAAAACTTCAGAAATATTCTTACCATACACGACAACTTTGGCACTCGCATTAACCGTAGGGTAACCACCGCTCCTTAGATCCACGTGGCAAGAATATACGCCAGTATAAGTTATATTTGCCGACATCAATGCTAAAGTTCTGTTCCACGAGTCGTTAAAGCTATAAGATATTCTGGAGTTCTCGATAGGAATCCCATCCTTCGTCCATAAAGTTCGTAACTCGTGAAGCGACCTAAAATTATGGGAATATGCTTCAGATATTCTCCTAATTTTTTACATTCAGACACATATTTCTTTTTGCAATGACTGTCATTTTTATACAAGCACTAATTTTTACAATACCACACTCTTCTACATTGATTTGTTAGCGCAATAATTTTTAGCAGTTGTATAATATACTTGTCTGGGTTAATACTTATTAAGTTAGTTTCTCTTAATTACTAACGGTGTCAGTGTTCCATAACTGGCATGACCAAGTGTTTTCTGAGAAATTAGAAGTTTCTAAATGTCTAATATAAGATACATTGAGTATAATCAGATTATGCTAGTATATCCAGTTATGCCAATAATTTTCATTTAATACTGGTCTTATTTTATAATAACACTATTAACACAATTATTTTTCTTCAAGCACTGGTAAAAATTACCTAGCATTTGCTATACAATGTATATAAGTAACATCTTGATCCTTGATGATCTGTGTGTCCTGTGGTTTCACTATGATAGCAGGTGCCACATCAGCATTCGCATCCCCTGTAACTTGTAGTTTGAAGAATGGACTGTTCTCCTCTTTGCCTAATTGCGTGTTGATGGCTCTTGCTCTGTTGGACATATAAACATCTAAGAATCTTATTCAAAAACAAAAAAAGCACCTCGGTTCTGCTTTCAACTCTCATTACCAAGTGAATAAACAGGTGCTAAGAAGTTAACCAGATAATTGAATACAAACCTGTACAGGCCCTGATCGCTCTCAGATGCGTTCAAGATAAGCAACGTGTGATGAACGGATGCATACTTTATGCCGTATAACAACGAACCATCGGATGCGAACCATGTAACGTCAGGTGCAGGATGACTTTCTATCGGCGGTAATGTTAAAACAGCAGCGCTACCCGATTTTACGCTTACTATCCTTTCTGTGAGGTCCTCGAACACCCCCATATCTAAAGATAATATTACAGGGTTACTTTCGTGTGCACCTGAGTATACCAGAATACGGTCGAAATACTTGGAGGGTCTTATGTAACGGTTACAGGTGGTCCAGAAAGTAGGCATAAAAGAATTTTTGTAGTAATATCAATATAATGATACAAAGACAGTCTCTAGAATAATTAAAATTAGATACTTTAAAGGATTAATAAAAATTATTAAGCTACGGTGGACTAAGATTTACATGAAATTGAGAAGTGCATTTGGTGTTTCATTTCAGTAGAGTTTAAGACTACCTCCAACAGTATTTGAGCAGTATAAAAATTCGTGATACGTACAGGCTACCGCAAATGTAATTCTTTCACTAAATATAGATCCTACATCGTTCGTGGCGACACAGTGATACACTCCTGCGTCTTCTCTGCGTGTACTTTGTATTCGGAAATAAGGTTCCGAAGTAAGCTCGTTGCTGAGAGGCACTCCATCCTTGAACCACTTGTATTTTGGCTGAGGATATCCTGGGAATAGAATGTATATTCAAACCACGTAAACAAGTCGTCTCTTCTTAAAACGTCGGAAGTAAAACGCTGAAATTATTTCAGATTTCATACAAGAATTTTACATCTTTTAAAAAAAAGGTTCCAGAGCTACGATTTGCAATGTGTCTTTAGAAAATTATCACGTTTGCAACTCTTCACCGACGATTTTGGGAGGTGTTAATTTCGTTCATACTATAGGCATTTGTTGTTTGGTCAAGACGTATATGCACTATACAGAGACCTAATACTATTAGTACAGGGTCATACTATCGTGTTACGGCACCAGGCAGGGACTGTAAGGCTTCATCTGGTCACCGTCTCATCCGGCTGTTACTCGATATTGCATGAGAACAATGGAATATTAAAAAGACGAAAATTTGGCAATCACCGTAATTCAAAATCTTATTAAATGTCCAGTGAAAAGTAACTCCATTTCATTTCTAGATATGGAACTATAAATTGGGAATAAATTTACAAGTACGACAGAAAAGTGTTTTATGTATATAAAGATTAATAAAAGGTGCAGAATTAAAATCAACACGAAACTCCATTCAAGCACTTTCGATCGATATAAAAATGAAATAAAATTGAAGAGGAGGTTCTTTAATCAGTTTAAAATGATAGCTTCCGGGTCAGATCTCTTCAGTTGGGTACTCACCTCTCGCTTGACACTGCAGAAATTTCGTTCGATTTTCGCTAAGAATATTGCCGCTACTGGAAGGCTGAGTGGTGAAGCGCGGTTCCTGGAGGGTCTCTGCAAAAAGACCAAAAAAATCCTCGATACAGCGTTCAATTACGCTACTAAATTCCGGAGGAGCTATCCGGTAGCTTATATCGATTAAAATTACTATTATCGCTTGCAGAGGAAAGAAATTAAAATCAAACAAAACGGCGTACGATTTAATCGTTCAACATATACAAAGTATGCTTTTAATAATAAATTACGATAGGATCATGGCCGGAGGTTAAACGATGGCTATTCATACGGAGACTTAACAAAAGAACAATCGAGGGAAACGCGTTAAAATTTCGAGCTGAACCGATGAGAAAGTCCATCGGGTTCGCCCCCATCTTAAAAATCATCAGACCATGGCAGAAAAGAGGGTGCACGTGTCGGTTTACGTCCATGTGACTCGGCTCTACGGCATCCGGCTGTTCGCATTCTTTTCTCTTCTCCTCTTCATCCTTTTGGTACACCGTAAATTACACGCGCCTCAACCTGATGACTCAGTCGTTGCACGGAATTCGAGCATAATAACCGGGCACACTATAAAATATAACTTTATAGATAGTGCCTTAGAAGGGGTTGGAATTTGCTCGCAATAACAGTGGCTTACGAGAACCAAAGATGGAGGCAGTTAGGGCACAAGTTTTAATCTGCACAGCACTTGCATCTCTAACAATAATCCGGAATTAAGTATCGCGGAGATAAGCATTATAAGTACTATTATTTTCGTATTACTATTATTATATGTCTGTGACTGTAACGTGTGGTGGTTACCGATGGTTTGCGGAACATTTTTCGGTTTCACTGCAAGAACCATTTTTGTGTAATAGTGTACATATCTAGTATAATCTAAAACATAACTTGTGTATAATAAGATGTATTGTTATATAAACATTATTCCTTGTTAAAACAAAAATGTTTTTTAAACGAAAAGAATTATCGAACCATATATGTTATACATATACATATGTTATATACAGAGTGTCTCACAACTTGAAGGTCCCTGATATGGGGAATAACTGATGTGATTCTGGATAAAATTTCCCTTTGCAAAAATGAGGTTTGAAGCTTATATATGTTATGTATGTTACATATGTTAAATGTATGTCATATATGTTACATATGTTAAACATGTCATATATGTTACATATGTTAAACATGTCATATATGTTACATATGATAAACATGTCATATATGTTACATGTGTTAAACATGTCATATATGTTACATATGTTAAATATGTCATATATATTATATACATTTAATATGTCGTATATGTTACATATGTCAAATATGCCATACGTTATATATATTTTACACATACATATACGTACTCCATACTTGATATTATTTCTCATAACCAACACATTTCGCAACTAATATAAAAACGAATTAAAGTAGCAAAAGAAACATTGAATCTATTAAACGCATCGTGGGAAAAAGAAGCGAAAGTGCAATTACGCCCCCGCAAATGTGTGTCTTTTCAAACGAATGTATGTTTATGAAGGCTGAGATGTATCATAGTCATCGTAGCGTAAGCTGACGAGACTGATTACACAGCCAAGAAAAAGAAGAAATTGTTAAGCATGCACGATGGTCTAGGACGGTGCTTGAAAAATAATGGTTGGTTATTTTTTCTTGCCTTTCAACGAGACAGTCTGTGAAACACTGTGATTAAGAAAATTATAACCGGGACAGGCATCGATTATTGTTTCAGCGGTCGTTACAATTTATCGATTCACAGCCCTCCCTCGTTACGGGATCTTGTTCAACGAGAAGACGGTTTCTTTCATCGTGGACTCTCTCGAGCGTGTCTTTTCAACTCGACGATTTCTCTTGAAAATTTCACCGATTGATATTCGTACATTTAGAAAGAAATTTGGAGAAATTCGATATTGAAACTTAATTTAGAAGCGTGCTTAAGAGAGTTAAAAGACTTTCTTGGAAGAAGAATTTAATTTAACAAGTGATTTCTTCTAAAATGGAAGCTGAAGTCAACAGACATATTCTAAAGGATAAAAGCTTTGTTCCACGTCATTAACCTGACCCGATTCAATTTCCAATCCAATTTTCGCAGTGCGTCAAACGACAAAGCTAATATTCTCTAACCCTTTCACTGCAACGTTTCCTTTCCAATAAGCAAAACGTCTCGCAAGGCGTGCCGTGTTTATCATCTACAAACTAATTCTAGATTGATTAACGCCGCTTTATCTGGCAATGATGCAATTAAACTTTGATAAGCCTATCATAAACTAGGAGTACCAACATTCCACATAGTCTTTACCATTTCGTAACTTGTAATCAGTAACCTCCAAGTAATTTAAAATTTTATAACAACGTTGTAATAAAGTACACAACAGGTTGCTAGAGACAGTTCGAGATAGAAGAGACAATTTAAAACATTAAACTGAAGACACGTTTTTATACGGGCAAAGGCGTGAAGGAAAAATAAAACCGAGTTGATTACCTCGTTTTCTCCTACACGCCGAAATAAGAAGACACTTTAACGTCGCCTGGCTGAAATAAGAAACAGCAGCATCATATGTGCGCTTATAACAGTCGACCACTCAACAGTGGTACTTGAAAAGCTTTAATAAGTGGAGCACATAAAACGCTGCTCATGTGCGGGCCACAGCCCTCGAATTCTGGGTGCGATGTTTCTGTAACGATGGGAGCTGCGAAATTGTAATTGTGCATTTATAAATTGTTGGGTTGTTAGAATATCTAAATTTACAAATTTTCAGGTGTATTTTGGAATGTTTACATTATTAAATTTAAAGATTCATGAAGGCTTAAGAGTCCTAAATCTTTGAATATTCAGATTCATAAGTTTTGAAAGTAGCAGATTTTTAAGTCCTTAAATTGCGAAATTTCGAAATGTCCTTACACTTCTAAATCCTCAAATTACTTTGGAATCACCAGATTCTTATATTTTCAAATTATGAAATTAAAAATTCTCGAGACTCAAGAATTCTTAAAACCCCACATCTCTAAAGTCCTATATTACCAAATTTCTAAATTTTCAAATCCCTAAATCTCCCAAATCCTCAAATCCTCAAATCCACAAATCTCCAAATCTCCAAATCCCCAACTCTCCAAAGCCCCAACTCTCTCTAGATTTCCAAATCCTCAAATCCCCAACTCTCCAAATTCCAACTCTCTCCAAATCCCCAACTCTCCAAATTCTCAACTCTCCAAATTCCCAACTCTCCAAATCCCCAACTCTCCAAATTCTCAACTTTCCAAATTCCCAACTCTCCAAATCCCCAACTCTCCAAATTTTCAACTCTCCAAATTTCCAACTCTCCAAATTCCAACTCTCTCCAAATTCCAACTCTCTCCAAATTTCAACTCTCCAAATTTCCAACTCTCCAAATCCCCAACTCTCCAAATCCCCAACTCTCCAAATTTCCAACTCTCCAAATTCCAACTCTCTCCAAATTCCAACTCTCTCCAAATTCCCAACTCTCCAAATTTCCAACTCTCCAAATCCCAACTCTCTCTAAATTTCTAACTCCTCAAATCCCCAACTCTCTCCAAATCCCCAACTCTTCAAATTCCCAACTCTCCAAATCTCCAACTCTCCAAATCCCCAACTCTCCAAATCCCCAACTCTCCAAATTCCCAACTCTCCAAATCCCCAACTCTCCAAATTCTCAACTCTCCAAATTCCCAACTCTCCAAATCCCCAACTCTCCAAATTCTCAACTCTCCAAATTCCCAACTCTCCAAATCCCCAACTCTCCAAATTCTCAACTCTCCAAATTCCCAACTCTCCAAATCCCTAACTCTCCAAATTTCCAACTCTCCAAATCCCCAACTCTCCAAATCCCCAACTCTCCAAATCCCAACTCTCTTTAAATTTCCAAATCCTCAAATCCTCAAATCCTCAAATCCCCAAATCTCCAAATCCCCAAACCTCCAAATTCCCAAACTAACCCCTCAGACCCAAAAAATAATAAAAATTCACCTGACTAAATAACTCCCCCGTAACCAAATAAATGCATCTCCAAATCTAACAATATCACCAGGAAATTTCACGCAGACTAAAATTTCCGCCAAAACGCGTACCCAAATTGAATCGAATATCGGCCTAATTGTTTCATAGGCAGGACCAATGATCACGAAACGGAACAGATTTTCCCGATGGTTTATTCATGGTAGCCCGGGGGTAGTATTCGCGAACAACAACGTGACCCGTGAAAGGAAAAATCAGGTTTATTCAGTGGGACAATCGTCGCACGATTTATCCGGCACATGCTCATGTTATCGTGGCTGTACAAAAACCTTTGGTGCACGTTGCTGAACCAGTGAACCCCTATTTTAAGCACCGCAGCTGTCACACCAAAGTGGAGAGGGCATGCATTTACGCACAAGGGCGGGACTGGGGCGTGGATAATCTGCTTTTACTAACGGTAAGTGAGAATACACCGGATCTGTTTGAGAAACGATCTCATTCTCTAAAAATATGCACACTTTTCCTTAGTTCTAGACAGACTTTCCACCGAAAGTGAACTCGACTCGTTCCCCTCTGTAACTACCCCTAAGCGTGAAATTCTCGGCTAAATACATAATCGTTGGTTTATTTGGAGAAGGCTTAGGGTGTCCACGGTGTGATTTGATCTAGTGTCATTTCGATTGATGGGGAACAGAGCAGAGAAGGTTTGGTATCTATTTATTTATTAGTTGAGATATACAGCTACGATTTGGGGAAACAGAAGTGTACCAACCTGCCAATATAGGGATTTAGAGGTTTTAATGAGCCAGAGATTTGGGGTACTAAGATTTTGGAGCAATAGGGATTTTGAGATCTAAGGATTTAGGAAACCTGGAATTTTGGGATTTTTTGGAACTAAGGATTTTATAAACTATGGACTTAAAGTATCTAGGGATCCAGAATTTAAGGATTGGAAGACTAGATATTTGGGGAACTAGGAATTTGTTGATATAGAGACAAGAATTTCATGATTATAATTTCTGGGGATTTAGGTATTTGCCCATAATGTATCTCAAGATTCAAAGTACCG